CAAGAAGGGAGAATTAGTCAGCTGTTCTTTGTTTTTATTTCCCTGACTCTTGAAAAGGATCCAGGCTTGCTCCTGAGGTTTTTCATCTGGATTGGTCTGAATAAAACAGATTTTTCTTGCAACTGAAACCCCTTTATTTGCAAAAGGTTATGATAACCAGAAGAAGCCAAGCTCCCCCAGTTTTTGTTTGGGATGGGCAGTGGAACCGGCTTCCTGCGGTCATGTTCACATTAAAGGAGGCTCATAGGACACTTATTTAAAATCAAAAAAGTGAAAGCTGTCATGTTTGTGCCTTAGTGTAGCATGCCAGGATGCTGTTGCTAAGATGATGCCTGCTGATTCTGGCATAAATAGTGATTTGAGCAGGCCCTACCCTAAGGAGTTGAGTCCCAATCCTTTCTCCCTTGTATAGGAACAAATCAATTATTCTAAGGAGGCGGTGTTGTCTCTCGGTGCTGTTGTGTTGCTTTTTGAAAACGTTTTGTAAGTTAGTCCTTAAGTGGGATAATTGCTTTCAGCATTTGCAAGTTAAATGAAGAAAGCTCTAATTAGATTTTATAAAGTGGCTTAGCATGTTGAGAAGGCTTTTCATAAAGTATACTGTGTATTCACTTGGCGTTGCACAATTGAATTTCGTGTAGCACTGACGAAACCTAAAAATCCTATTTGGCCCTGGGTGCTTAAAGGATTGAAAGCCTGCCTTAAGTGCTCCTGGCCATACAGCCTCTCTTCCTTTCCCCACCATCCCACCCTGACCAGGGCGTTTATCTGTGTTGTAGAGACTGGAGGAGTTGCATCAACACCAACCTGAGGAAGAGCCTTGGAGCTGGGCATAAAGCTTGGTGTTTTGTGTCGCTTCCAAACAGGACCCTGCACATGCTGTTTAATCTGTTTTAGCTGTTTACTGTGCTGTGCTGATTGTCTGGTGGGGCTGGGTGGCACAGAGCCACTTTGTTCAGGTCAGTCCTGGCTCTGTGCGGGCACTTACTGAATCCCACACAAACCCAACAGTGCCTGTGCTTAGCAGTTTTTGGTATTGTTTGGTGTCCTGTAGGTTAGAAATGTGATATGCTAATGCTTTCCCCTTGCCATCACAGCCTTGGCAGCAGCTGAGGTACTGGCCAAAGCAGCCTGACACACTGCTTGCCATCTGAATAAGGACTTAGTCCAGTCACAAGCCCCTTTCACGTGTGGTTTCTGCAGTGTGTGTGCCAGGAGCTTTCTGATGAGAATTGGAAGGAGTCCCCAGAGCCAGTGTTTGTTCAGGTCATTTGGGTGCTGTTGCTGGGTTTGACTTTGAGAGTCTTATGGAAGATAGGCTCTGTCTGAGAAGTGGCACCTCTACTACCTCAGTCAGTCAGGTGATGAAGCTTCATCTGCAAAAATGTGGATTCCACGTGTAACAGCTTAGAAGAAACCAGATCTAAAGTACTTAATTATAAAATTACAGAATTGTTTGGTTGGGATGGACCTTGAAGACCCTCTTGTCTCACCCCCCTGCCGTGGACAAGGACACCTTCCACTAAGCCAGGTTGCTGAGAGCCCCATCCAGCCTGGCCCCATCTTGAACACTTCCAGAGATGAAGAGTTTTGCACGGATTTGTTATGCTTTCAGACGATCACAGAAATAATTTGTCAAAACTGTGACTTGGTTATAAGGTCTGAATTGGAAGAAGGGCATAGGGATCTCTAGTAAGATCCACTCAGCCTGGGACATTAATTAATGGATCATGACCAGCCTATATTCTGGCAGAGGGACAAAAGGTTGTTCTTTTGCCCTCTAGCCATGCTTGATCTTCAACCTTCAACACTGGGTTAGAGAGTCATCTCTGTCATGGTCGGTTTTTCTCACTCATTGCTTTTAAAGGGTCAGATTCTTTCAACACTTGTGGAATCAACAAACTTTCTCATTTGAATTTACTGGATTGCTGTGTCCATGACAAGTTGTGGCACTGTGTTTTTTGTGTGAACAACAGGCTGCTGTTGTAACCACATGGAGCACACGGCTTTGGATGAGCATTCGCAGCCACCCACGGGCACTTGATTCATCACATGTGCCTCAAAGCGTTTTACTCTTTTGTAGTGTCTTTGTAAATGGACTTTGTGTCCCTCTTTGAAGTGCTTATGAACTGCAAGGGCTGCCATGGTCAAGCTGAACTCAGAGGTGAACACAGATTTAAACATTTCCCCTTTTCTTCCTTAAATGTCAAACCAGCGTGTATCACTGTTAATGGAGTTACTGATTTTGGTAAACATATAGGCTAAGAAAGAAACTTTGGCAGGTTCCTTGTGATCGTGTGAGTGGTGTGCAGGCAGAACTCCAGTTTTTTTTGAGAACAGATTTCAAATTGGATGAAGTTTCCTGTATTACAAGAGATAGTTCATGCTATGGCAGGTTCTGCAGTTTGGTGGAGCTGAAGGTTTGGAGTGAACTTGAGGTGATGAAGATTGTCTGTAGAAATGAAATGTTAACCTTAACTGCTCTTTAAGAAAGCAGATACTACTTTGTTAGATGTGGCCAGGACGTAGTTAAAGAAAAAAGGCATTTTTCCTGAACTCTTTTCTCATTTTTAAATAGTCTTAGGAAATCTGTATGTTGCATATTTAGTGTAACAACTGTGCTGTTGGTGCCAGTGCCTTGAAATGGGTATTGAGTTGTGAAGTGTCTCAGCCTTGTATCTGTGCTCAGACAAATTTTGGTTGATTATGTAGCTTTTCGTGACAAGGCAGATCTGGAAATGGCCAAATAGGAGATTTACTCCTGAAAGTGCCAAAGACATTATATGAACAAATTTGGGAAGATTAAATTTAGTCCACATAGTGGTGAGAGATTGAGGGGATGATTCTTAAATTGTCCAATTCCATTAAAAAGGTGCAGTGACCTGCCAGAGGAGAGGGTCAGGAAGCACAGGTGGGTCCTCACATCTCACCTACACGGGGGCTGTGCCAAGGCAAATAGGTGCTCATTGGTAGGGGACTGGTGCCATATCCCTCAGTGTCCCAGCTCCATGGCTTGGGATGGACTTTGCACACTGGGGTGATTTATTTGTCATCCAGGGGCTGCCTTTGTGAGAGCACAGATTGGTGCTTCTCCTGCAAAGGAACTCCCCCATGTGTTTGGAACAGGGTCCTCTGCAAGGTACTGGTTTTGTATTTTTCTAGGAACAAAATAAATTGTGTTGTTGCCTTCTGTGTCATCTTCCTTCATGTAACCAAAGGCAGTCAATGAGCTTTTGCTGCATTTCAGGATTTTATGCTAATGTTTCACTGCTATCAGTACTTTTTTTTTTTATTTTTCAGAAAATAAAATTATCTTAATTACCCTGAAGTAACTAATCCTCAAAGCTATAATCATTGCCTACATAATGCTTCATATTTACAAAATATGAACAATTCAGTTCACCTCTTCATGTGGTCTTTTGAGTTAGTGTAAACAGTTTCCTGGAACCATTGCTTAATCAAGAAATTGAATTCTGTAACATGAATAGTAAAGGCTTTTGACAACAAAGATGTAATGCTTCCTTTCTTGTTTTATTCAATTTAATGATGTGCATTCCATTAGTGTTTTTTAAAATTCCACTTTAAATTTCAGTAGAATTTAAGTGAAAGGGTACAATTACGAAGATTTTTTCATAAGGCAATACTTGGTAGCACACAGAGCAACTGTTTATTATTAAACTGTGATTATTTGGTATGATATATCTACTCTTCTTTAAGTCTTCAATAACGATTTTAAAGATTTGCTATATCCATGCCTACTTGCCTGTTACTTACTTTTGAATGTTTTTTAATGGAATTTTTGGTATAGAATCCCAGAATGGTTTGGGTTGGACGGGACCTTAAAGATCATCCCATTCCAGCACCCTGTCATGGGCAGGGACACCTTCCACTATCCCAGGGTGCTCCAAGCCCAGCCCTGCCTGGCCTTGGACACTTCCAGGGATCCAGGGGCAGCCACAGCTTCTCTGGGCACCCTCACAGGGAAGAATTTCTTCCCAATATCTAATTTAAATCTGTGCTCTGTCGGTGGGATGTCATTCTCTGTGTCCTGTCACTCAGCTGTGACTGCAAAATAAACTACAGTATTGATCTACACTCTTGATGTTTTTCTTTTGTCTGATATTTTGGACATAAGACTTTGCAGACTGTGATTTCTAGTGTTTTAGTGTACCAGAACATCACTCTCATGCTTCAAGAAAAAGTGTATGAAGTGTATCTCATCTTAAAATGAGATTTGGGAAGCAGAAAGGAAACTGCCCAGATGACTGCAGTCATCATTGTAATGTCATTAAATAAATTACTCCATGATTTAATTTGAGCACTCCTGGATGGCTTAAGCCCATAATAATTTGACATGGGGCACTCTCTGTGTTTCTCTTGAAGATCATAACTCAGGGCAGTTTTGTTTACCGTGGGAAACTTTCTTTCAGATGGAGGCTGGGAGGGCCATATCTATTTGTGAAGGACAGGGAGTGCTTTTGTTACCTTCCCAGAGCCATTACGGGATATGATTGCTTGGGGGAGTGTCTGCTTATGATCTGTTAGAAAACAGCCTATTAATAAAACAGAGGTTCTTGTAATAGAGCACTTCTTAATCTTCTTCCTGTGTAGTTATTTATAGGTTGTGACATCTTAATTTGCCTCTCATGTGCATCGACTTCTGTTATTTTAAAAGATCAAGTAGTTTTCACACGCCTCTGAGAATCACTTCTGGGAGAAACTGTCTGTTTTCTAAGGAATCTGACAAAAAAGGTTCCAATCATAAGTTTGTTGTGACAAGTGCATTAAGGTTTTTGCTGGTGTCTTTCTAAAGGACAGAAGTTATGGGATGTGCTCTTGCAGTTATTTCTGTATTAATCCCGTATTTGATTACAAGCAGATTTTCCTGAATTCCCCTAGGATTTCTAGTTGCTGCTAATACTTACTTTCCCTTAGCGACCTACCTGGAGCAATATTAAATCCACTGCTCTCTTCATTTTTGTGGTCTTTTGCTTTCTCAGAGTGGTCCCAGTGCCAGGTCCTGTCACAAGATGTGCATTGACATCCAGCGACGGCAGATCTACACCCTGGGGCGGTACCTGGATTCCTCCGTGAGGAACAGCAAGTCCCTGAAAAGTGACTTCTACCGCTACGACATCGACACCAACACCTGGATGCTGCTGAGTGAGGACACCGCAGCAGATGGAGGCCCCAAGCTGGTGTTTGATCATCAGGTCAGCCACACTCATCCTCCTCCTGCAAATTCTCTGTGTTTAAAAGTCAGTTTTGATTGTAGTCTCTATGATTTCGAGGTGCTGTACCAGGTAACAGAGCAGGGGTGAAGAGGATATGATCTGCACTCAGTTAAATCCTAATAGCATTGCTGCTCAATGCCACTGGCTGCTGGTTCTCCAATCAAACAGAGTCAGAAGAATCATAAGAACCTTTGCAAAGAAATGCATTTTATTAAGACACATTTTATTAAAGCTCAAAGCACAGTTCATCTGGTTTTAATCAGTCTCCTTGAGCTGGGTTTGCAGATCTGCCTTGCCTGGAGGGCCTTGGGGAGCAACTTGCAAAGCTGTGTGTGGTACCTTTGGAAGAATACTCTAAGCAAGCTGCTGGAATGAGACCAACACAGGAGCAGGATTCTTTCCAAATTGGTTACCTTTAAAAATTGTAGAATGTGCTTTCTTTGGAGAGCTTGAAACACCTTAGAGGAATGGCTACTAATCCTTCAAAAAGTCACATCTCTCCATGTGTTCAAATTGAAAACAACTTTACTTACGTTGTGTTCAGTGGCTTTTGTTTACTTGAAAAAGGTATTTTGTTCTCAATTGATTTTCTTTTTATGAAGCATCGCCAAGAAACAGCACATCAGGACTAATTTTTAAAGCAGCCCAAGATCAGCTTTTATTGGTACTGGCTGTTTTGTAACCAAAGCTGTTGTTTGCCAGCACAATGTGCCTTTCTGCTGACACCGAAAATTAAAGATATGCCATGTCTGCAGAACAAAAGCCAATCAGTCTTTCTGTTCTATTAATAACCAATGCCAGTCTCCTCTCCCTCAGGTTTTTATTTAACCTTCAGAAATGTGCTGCACTAGAAGTGTTTTGTGTAGGCTTTGCTGAGTAGCATCTCTGTCTTACTGTAATCTTGTCTGTTTGTTGGTTTGGTTTTTTTTTTCCACCCTCTCTGGTATTTTGCAACCCTCTGCTTTGCACTTTGTCTGAAAACATCACCTGGAGTCAGGGGGTTTGGTTTGATTTGTGCTGCAGTGCTTCTCATGTGTGCCATAACCTCAGTTTAGGTTTGGAGATTAAACATATTTCTGCTGCACTCCCATGAGGAATCTTTGGCCGAGTTATGCCCCCACTCTGTGTTCCAGCAATGGGGGTAGCAGTAAATGTGTGCTGGGGATGGAATCTCAGTGACAAATCACAGGCTGATTTTTGCATCAGTTCATTGGTGGGCGGTGAATCAGCAGTGATTTTGAATTTCTCCCTTGCACAGCCGTTGCCAGAGGTGATACTCTATTAACTCTGGCTATGAGGATGTAGCTTGAAAAGATCCCCATGGATTTTTTTCTGTGGAACCTATGGAGAAGAACCCTGTGAATCCTCGTGAAAAACCCTCAAGTACTTTTCCCAGTGGGTTTTTTAGGTGATGAAGGGTACATTGATTCTATTCTTTTGCATATTAGATGGCATATAGAAATTAAACTTGGGTTTTAAATTTCTTTTATGAGATGAAGACCTGACAACCATGAAGATGTGTGTCTTTTTCTGTTTGTTGGAGGCTCAGGAGCTGTGCAGAGCTTTGTCTCAGCTTAGTAGAGGCTGTCTTGCTTGTAGGAGAGGGGTGTTTAATGTTAGATCTCAGAGTGTTCAGGTCTTACTTTGCTTACCTTGCCGGCTTAAAACTGCTTCCCTGCTTCTTGCAGATGTGCATGGATTCTGAAAAACACATGATTTACACATTTGGAGGCCGAATTCTGACCTGCAATGGCAGTGTGGACGACAGCAGAGCCAGTGAGCCCCAGTTCAGTGGCTTGTTTGCTTTCGACTGCCAGTGCCAGACGTGGAAACTTCTGAGGGAGGATTCCTGCAACGCCGGACCCGAGGATATCCAGTCCCGGATAGGACACTGCATGTTGTTCCATTCTGTAAGTATCCACACCCTACTTTGATTTATGATGGCTGACTTTAATGAGAACATCTGGTTTTGTTTTTTCTTGCAAATTTTGTGCTCTTTAATCTCCTTAGTGATGTGTTGTCTCAGTTAATTCAATGTTTGCTGACATTTTGATGCTGCTTTGGTAAATGCAGGAGGTGCTAATTCAAGTTTTGGAGCTTTCATTTCATGGAGCTTTTCCAGCTGAATAAAATTTAAAGTAAAAATCAAGGTGAATTTAAGAGTTGGTCTTAATGGAATAATAGTAAATAGACCCAAAGACTGGTTCATTTTGACCTAAAAATTAATTCTTTTTAAGTTAGTAGAGCAATTTAGAAGCTTCTGGTGTGGTAGATACTCTGTGTTGTTACTGGAATGGGATTTAATGGGTATGTATTGAGTTGCACAGGCCTCAGAGCCTTTGGTGCTGGAGCATCCAGCTGCTCTTTGTTGTCCTGGGCAGCTGCAAACAGCTGTAAACAGCTGGGATTATGAGCACTCCATCCAGAGCCTCATGACGAAGCAGAAGGGTGGGGGTGAGGTGTATGTAGCATTTTACTTTATGTTGAGTATTAAAAACCACCTTCCATTGCCTTTCCAGTTGTGTTCATCAACCACATATGTATTTAAGAGAACTAAAGAGAATTAAAATTAATGTTTCGACATTTAAATATTTACCAATACCATAAACTCAAAACCCACCAATTTGAAGAAATTGCTGTTTTTATTTCTCTTACCCTTTCAAGTGAAAGATCAGAATTTTTACAGTGAATACTGGGCTTTCTGAGCTTTCCATTTTATTTTTGTTTTGAATGGTTCTTTAAAATCTGGTGGAAAAACATATTGCCACACAAAATTCTGCATGAGGTCTTGAGGATCTTTCAAGTAGGTGTCCGTGATAAATGGAAGAATACAGGTTTCTGTAAGCACAGGTCATGGAAGTTTAAGTCCTTTTCTGTTTTCTCAGCCATTTGAAAGAAAAATAATCTGCCTCTTACGGACTTTCCACTTGGCAGACTTGAAAGAAGCAATAAACCTGTTATTCTTGGCTTGCTCCTTGCCATTTGCCTTTACTGAATTTATTAGTATGCTGGTACCTGTATTTCTCCTATAATCTGTCTTTTGTTCCTGTTGTGTTTTTAACCATGATTTTTTGATGGATTTTGGAGATGGGGCCTGTTAATTCTTTAATAATAAACTTGAAAGATGAGCTGCTGCTTTAATGTTCTGAAGTTAAAGCTGGATGAGGCAGGGCTGCATTAGTTACCTGTGCACAATTATGTTAAACTTAGTAGAGACATCTCTGTTCCTCCTTGATTCATTAATGGCTGCCCCTGGATCCCTGGAAGTGTTCCAGGCCAGGTTGGATGGGACTCAGAGCAACCTGGGATAGTGGAAGGAGATTGGAACTGGATGGGCTTTAATGTCCCTTCCAACCCAAACTACTTAAGATTCTATGATAAATATTTCTTTTAATGATCACAGTTGATCAACATACTGTCTTGAACTTGTAAAGACTTTTTCTCTCCCTCATTCCAGAAAAATCGCTGCTTATATGTATTCGGTGGCCAGAGATCAAAGACTTATTTGAACGACTTCTTCAGTTATGATGTGGACAGTGACCATGTGGACATTATCTCAGATGGCACGAAGAAAGATTCAGGGATGGGTAAGAGGATAACTACATAATAATTTGATAATTTTTCATTTCTTTGGTGCAAATGAGAAATCCACCATGAAATACTGTGAAAGGGGAAATGTGTAGGTGAAAGGCCTGGTTCAACCTGTGGGATCAGGTTGGCATCTTTAACTAACCCTCCATACCCAGGTAAACTCCACACTAAACAGATTAATCTTATACCAGCTCTTCTGTCCTTTCTGTCATCTGACACTCTCCATCTTGAGCACAATACAAATAATTGATGCATGAAACCACACAGCACCTCAAAAGAAAAAAAAACGAACAGCAAAATAGGAACTAAGACTACTTCTTCTGGAAACTCTATCAAAGATGAAAAAAAAAGCTGAAAAAAACCCTTCAAACCTGGAAAGGAGAAAGTAAATTCTTATTTTTCTGATTTTCACCAAGTGAAAATTACCATGAGATGATCTGCAGAAAGGCAGGAAGGGCGCTCAGAGGTAGAGAACTGGAGTACAGGGACAGAAGTTATTTGACCAGAAAGATGAGACCAAGCTGTTGTCCTGTTATATTTGTAATAAATATCAGAAAGGAGCAAAAAAAATGGAAGAGGAGGGAGAGGGCTTCAGTTCTGTGTAATTCAGAGCACTAGAGCTACATATCCTGTGTGTAGTTCTGTATGACAGAAGTCTTTAAAAACACCCAGAAGGCCTGTGACACAACCATAAAGAACTGATTTCATGCCTTTTCTCCTCAAATGACAGAGAGAAATGTTCCTTTCTTCCTGAAAAGCATTTCTGCATGTATAAGCACATCAATTTCCTGTTAAAATACCCTGCTCTTCATCCAACAAGTCAGAATTTGAAATTTGAGTTGCACTGTGTACCACTATGGGACAGAAGTTACAAGAATTTCTCAGGTTTTGTATATTCAGTCCTGATCTCTCCTTCCAGTTACTAAAAACCTCAGGAAGGTAATTAATCTTGATTTTAGGCTGCCCTCCTCCTCTTGATCAGGCTTGGCTTTTAGCAAGTAATTTTGCTAAACTTTTGAAGTGAATTATTGGTGGTGATGAGTTATTGTTTGCTCATTAATTTAGTTATGCCAATAAGAGAGAAAAGTACCCAAGCTCTAATTCTCTGGAGTCATTTATTTACTCAAGTGCTTCCAAGAAAGAACCAGCTCATACTGTTGACAGTCTCCTTTATTCAGGTGTGCATTGCCTGATGCTGCTCTGCACACACCCACGCTCCCTTTGTTGTCCTTAGAGCTTTTAAAGGATTGATTTTTTTTTTTTCCTCCAGGAAATTAGTAACATTCTGCCATTTTGATCTTTTCAAAGATCGTGTCTTCATAGCCAGAAGCTTGAAAACATGTGGCTTTAAGCTGACACCTTTGTCTACTTTAGATTTAAAGGTACTGAGTTTGTCAGGACACTGAGCTCTGCTTTTCATACATGAACTGCAACGTTCAGTGAAGTAAATGAGAAATTAAGTAAATTTTTAGCCCTTCTCCCCATTCCCACAGGCCCTGAAGTGATGAATAGTAGAATTTTTTATTTTTATTTTTTTTTTAATAAGAAAATGACTCACTGGAAATAATTCACAAGTAGATTTTTTTGGTTTACTGTTCTCCTGTGTGTGGAAAGTAAACAAACAGATTTGAACATTTCCATTGCTTTTGAAAGAAAATGCTGGGATAATTTGCATTTTAACAGGAAGAGAACAAAATGCTTATTACATTCAGACAGCAAATGTTGACAGCACTGTTTTCACCCCAAAAAAGCAAGTCTTTATTGTGCTCTTGTTAGGTAGTGATACACCATTTTGATCTGTCTGAACAAAGTGATTGCCTGCCTGGTCGCTTGAAGTTTTAAGCTGCTCAGTGTGATGAGTCAAGTTGAGGATGCCTGACCTAAATGTTCCTATAAAGTCCCATGATTACATTTTGTTCCTGGCTCGCATGTGGCATTCAGTTCTATTCTTAGTTGAGCTATTTTGATTTTTACCCTTTCTAAAAGAACTTAATTGTGCATTTGTTTAAATATCTTCTGGAGTAGGGAGATTTTTTAAAAAAGTAGTGAAGTGGATAATAAGGATTATCAGTAACACAGAGTTGTTGCACTGCTTTAAAACCATGGTAATGATATGTTGGTTTTGCTGCTCTCATCTTCTGAGATATTTGTGCTGTTCAGCGTTTCTTTGCTTTTGTTTTTGCCTCTGATGTTGATCCTATGACCGACTCCTTGGATGGCTGATGTGTTTGGGAATGATGGGTGATAAGTATCACTTAAATTTTCTTAACTTGAAGTAAAAGACATAATTTTAGCAGATTTAGACATGCAACTGTGGTGATGTGTTGGGTGTGAAGGAGGACAACAGAGGTGCAAATTAGAGGAATTTTAGTTCTATTGAACAGAGTTTGTATTTGGAGGAGAGGCAGAAATGTTTATGTTGATGGACACACTTTTAGAGCAGTTTTATATTTTAATTGCTTTAAAGAAGCACATAAACAACACTCAAGCAACAAACTCCCCCCAAGGAGACAAAAATAGTGTGTATCTGAAGCATACAGGTGGTCTGGAGGTGCCACCAGTCCCAGGTGTCCCCAAGGGCTGGACTGGGAGCTTTCCTGAGTCCCTTAGTGCACAATCCATGACTAATCATGGGCAGTCATTCCAGCTCTGAGGGAGCTCGTGGCAACACTTGTGGTCAAGGTTCCTGTGATAATCCCCTCTGGCCCTGACTCAGGTGGTGTGTCAGAGCTGCTCAGAGGGAGAATTCCTTGGGCAAGAGGATGTGCAGAGCATCTTATATCTCTTGGCACTGAGTAACTTCCAAAGTCAAACGTGAGCAAGCCCTAAAAGTTCTTGTGGTTTGTTGTAGTGGTCAGGTGGTTCTTAAGGGCAGCCTACAGATGGTTTTTGAAGCTCCCAGTGAAGCTCCCAGGTCTCTTGTTGAGCAGGTGCCCATTTCACATACAGAACTGTGCACCTGATGGATGGGGAATTTCATGGATAAGTACCACGGACAGAGGCAACACAGCCCAGCCCAGGAAACAAGGCAAAGTCAGAAAAACATGAATCAAAATAGATAGTACAGCTGGCTCAGCATGGCTGGCAGCCAGCTCAGACAGGCAGCCTCAAGATGCCATTTTCATCACCTCTTAGTGACACCTGGCATGTTGTGCCTGTGTTCAGGTAAGGTCTTGCTCAGTGGCCAGCACATTCCCTTGCCGTGGAAGCATTTTGTTTTGTGAGGGACCTTAGGTGCTTTTTATCTTGTGATCTGCTTCTTAGAACTAATCCCCAAATCCTTTCCCCTACCTGTGAAGGTGAGGAGGGGGACAGGTAGTCACCAGATCCTAGGGATGCCTTGCAGAGCTGCCATAGTTCAGAATTCCATTCACATTTATTGACCGGTCATTTTTTTTTTCCAAAATCTCAGAGAGACCTGCGTGTTGGGCATTGGATTGTTGCTTCGTCAACATGACAACCAAACTGTTCAGATGGTCTCCTTAGCTGCTCCTTGGCAGACTGCCAGATGCAGTCTCATCAGGAAAAATCCAAGAGGATAATCATTATCTTGCTGTGTCAACAGCTGGGCTGGTGCTATCACTCACCACGACTTGCTCCATTACAGTCTGGGGGAGGTGCTGCTTCCGCTTTATAGGAGCTACAAGGAGTAGCATGGAATAATTTGCAGACCTACCACTTTTTAAATATTAATCCTCTGGGAGGTGCCAGGTTCTGGTGAGCAGCAGTATCCATGTGATGCAGTTCTCTCCCAATTTTGTAATCACGAGGTATCAGAAGGAGGGAGGATACTTGTGAATTGCTTGCAGTCTGGCAGTCTGGCAGTCACATGTTCTGAGGGTTTCATAACTCAGGTGGCACTAAAACCCTGTCAGTGAACTTGCTTCCCTTATTTATCCTTCCTGAATTCTTTGGGCATGGTCTGTAGACTATAAATTTATAGAATTGTTTTGCCATTGTTGTGTTTCAAAGTGTGTCGAAAAATTTGCTGTAGTATCCCCTCAGATGTAAGAGACGAGATTTAATTTCCAAAATGCTGTCCAGTACGATGAAACCACATCTGTGTAACCATAAAGTTGACTTCACATTACCCAGAGAAGCTGTGGCTACCCCTGGATCCCTGGAAATGTCCAAGGCCAGGTTGGACGGGGCTTGGAGCAATCTGGGGTAGTGGAAGGTGTCCCTGTCTGTGTCAGGGGGTGGGACTGGATGATCTTTAAGGTGCCTTCCAACCCAAACCACCCTAGAATTCCATGAATTTACATTTTCTGCTTTGCAAGCTCTGTCTCTGCACAAGCTGTTTTCTTGCTTCAATACTGGCAGCAGCCAGGGCTGTGCTTGAAACAACTGTAGCTGTTTGCACGCACAAACCAAAAAATATTCAGCTGGCTGAAATGATCACTGTGATCCCATAAACTCCTGTAAGCAGGGACTGTGGTAGTGGGAACTACCTGTTCCATGATTAGGTGTCTCTTTGGAGAAAACCTTTTCCCATGTGTTGTATTTAAATGGAAATTACACTGTACGGAGCTCCACAGCATCTCCTCAGAGCTTACTTAGGAATTATTGCTTGTTTATGGAACTGGCTGCGAACTCCAGGCCTGTGTGGCTGAATATTGTTTTTAAATACTGAGGCCATAAGCTTTTAATTTTTGCTGTGTAAATGAATGGAAATACTAAGTTCCTGAGCAAGGATTCAGACCTCTACCCTGGGCTGGTCAATGAGATTAAGGGGGAAGAAAACATTCTAGACTGGATGGGAAGAAAACAGTCTTCTAGACTTTTAGGGATTGTGTTGTGTTCAGTGATTTCTCTGAACAGCTTTTCCTCTTCAATAAGTGATGTATTGATGTAGGAGCCAAGTTAATACCACATAGCCACAGACCAGTGTTCAAAACACCCAGGGCTAAGTCCTCAGTCACTGCTTTGTCCTTGGAGCTGTTTGCCCACAGCTGACCCAACAGGTGCCCTGAAAGGTGTGGATTTGGTGGGTGTTTGCTCAAAGCTGATCTTGCATCTCTGTGAAGAAGCACAACTGACGGAACTTGCATGGAGCCTTTCTTCCCACTTCTTTCACCCCTTGGATCTAGTACATTGCAAATAACTGATCTGGAAGTGCTCTGATTCTCACCCCTTGTTATTTGACTTTTTTCTCCCAAGTCCTAAAATTTAAATAGACATGTCCTTAGCAATCAATTATTGTCACTGTTATAGACCCATTTTTACAGGTTCAATTTTGTTGCCAATGCAGAATTAGATTTCCTTCCCAGCGTTATTTTGTTACCTAAATGTCACAAGTATTTTTCCGATGATTCCAGCCTGTGTCCCTCTCTAATGCTCTGACCATTCTCGTTTGAATTCTGTCCAGCATTTCCTGCCAGTCTGCTGCACTTGCAGATGATGAACCTCTCTTACCCCCTAGTGGAAGTATTTAAGTGCTGAGGTTTTTATGGAGCCTTTTTGCTCCGTCAAGGATCAGACTTCCTTGGAAAACATCTTGTTGATGTTTCTGTTGGGTTTAAAACATCACAGCCTCTCATGTTCACTATGTAGTATCTTGTCTTACTGTCTATTTATTTTCATGGACTTGTTTATCAAATCTGTGTTATGGGGTTTTTTTTAATGACACTGCATCCAACTTCCTCATTTTGTCCTCCTCTGCAAAAGACCAGATGTCAACTCTTTCTTGCCTAAGGCACTACTTAAATGCAGTTTCTACACAGTTGCTTAGATAGGTCACAGAGTTTATGTAAGTTACTCCTTGTCTTCGGCCCTTAGTAAATCTGGGGATTTATATCTGATACTTTTCTAGTCATTCTGCATTTCAAACAGTCTCAAGAAGAGATTGATTTACAATTGAGGGAAGCCTGAAATTACTTGACTTGAATCTGGGTTTGATTGCAGTTGCTGCAGATGAATTCTATTCTTAATATCAAGAGGAAAAAACCACCAGCACTGAACTTTGGCAGCTTTTCCCTCCTTCATTATTTAAATAATAATTTCAGCTTCAGGAAATCGAGCATAAACGAGATACAAAATTAATTTATTTAACAACATTTCAGGAGGAGGGATGGGACTTCCACAGACAAGTTTCAGATGCTTTGAGTATCAATGGTAATAGAGCAGCTATGTTCCTCATGATTATAATAATTTTCATTTCAATGAGGTATTAGTGCTCTGAAGATTTGCACAGGGTTTCTTTTTTTGTAATATTCCCGGCGTGGTCTCAAATGTTCAAAGCAGCAGATAGGGTTGCAAAGACATTTTCCATGTGCATTAGCATTGCTGATCAAATTTAGATGGCTCTCCTGCCAGAAATGTCTCAAACAGGCCTTGAATTTAATCCTTTTGGGTCAGCAACTTAGTCCCTGACTATGCAAACAAACACATTGCACGATACTTTTCAAAAATTAGCCATTTTTCATCTATAGTCATCTTTCTGTTCTCAATTTCCTTATGAGGCGACTTTCACAGTCTTCATTTGCCTTATTTAAAAACCAAGTTCTTTGTGGTTTGCAGCTAAAACAAAGTGTGTAGTCATTGTTGTGTCAGTGTTACTCCCTTATTTTTTTCTCTTTTCTACCATCCATTTGCTTAAACTGAAATAATTTTCCTTTAAAACTTCATGGCAAAATTGGAGGTCAAACTAGACAGGTTTATGCTGATGAAGGCTCCAAAGCCTCTTCCTCCTGTGAAATCATAAGGAAGGATTTTGTTAAGGGGAGTCTGATAATGAGTTATCCACATATATTCCAGTTTCTATTTAAATTTACATGAGAATTAAACATTGAATTTTTTTTTAAAGAAATGCTTAGTTTTTGTGGTATTCCTGAGTTCTTCGGTAGGAACTAAAATTGTGGATGAACAAATTCTACTCAGAATTTTTTAATTCCTTTATTGCTTTCCTGGCCTAACAAATGAATAGAGTGAAGTGTGAGAATTAAACCAGTTACAGAATGGATTTCCAAAATACCATTTTGTGTATTCCACAACGGCAATATTAAATGTTTTATTAACTTAGGCCTCGTTTTCTAGGCCGTGGGTGCAATTCAGTTAATTGGAAGGAAGAATTAGCAAAATACAAGAGTTCTGAGAATTTTTCGTGCCAAAATCTTGACCAAAGGCCAGGAACCTTTACCAGCCTTTGTAAACTGACCCAGAAAGAGAAAGGAGACAAACAGGATCTGTAAACAAAGATCACGTGCCCTTCACAAATACATTTTGGAAGGATGGTTGCCTAGGGAAACAGGAAACGGGGAATTACACAACAAACAAAAAGGACTGCCAAACAAATTTGCTGACCTTTTTTTCGGGGAATTATGATGAAAACTATTGGAATCTGCAGGATTTCACCATATTTCTAAATCCAAAGGTGGGACAGAAGAATAGCTTGGTAATTATGCCACAAGTATTCAGAAAATACAAAAAGCTTCTTTGACATCTTTGACCTGCAAGATTGTGAGCTATAGAATTGTGAGGTCATCTTGAATTTTTTGGAGTTTCCCAGCTTTTGCAATTAAGCTTTCTGGAATCAATGCTTCCTTTTACAGATGAGATAATTGCAAAATCACTCCATTCATATTTTTAATGGTCATCTGGTCATTTAGCTCTGTTAGGGAGCTTAATCCTCATTTCTGAGCTGGTAGTCTCCCAGATGGCTCTGTCCATATCTTTTCCTAGGAAACAGCAGCTCTCAGAATGGTTTGTTTTTTCTTCCAAGAGTCAGAGATAGCAAGAGAAGAATTTTCATTGGACTTGGCTCTAACAGGGAAGAAGTTGGCCTCTGGATGACGATCTGCTGAATTGCAGGGGGCAGGAAGCTCATTTGCCTGATGTTTGGATCCTTCCTACATCATCCTCCTTTGTTTCCAGCATGTAACTTTTATTTTCTTTTCTCAGTTCCAATGACAGGTTTCACTCAAAGGGCCACCATTGATCCCGAACTGAATGAAATCCATGTCTTGTCAGGGCTCAGTAAAGACAAGGAGAAGCGGGAAGAGAACGTAAGGAATTCCTTCTGGATTTATGACATTGTGAGGAACAGCTGGTAAGTCCTGACTTCCACACTGACTTTATTTAGAAAGCAATCCTGTCTCCCTAAGGTAACTCTGCAACCTCTGTTAAAATTGGAATTGTTGAAAGTTGTGGAAGACAGCTGAGTTCCCTTAAGGTATCTCTTTTTCCCATTGTCTTTAGAGGTACCGTGGCAATAATCCAAATGAGAGAGACAGATCATGTGAACATCTTTATTGGAGCCAGGTGGAGGGGATGAGGGGAAGTGAGCAGTTACAAAAGGCTTTTCCTGTAGGAAGGGTTCAAGGCCAGCATTCAGCACCAGTGCAGCAAATTCAGTCCAGTGTAAGTTGTTAATAGCAGTGTACATGGCTCTAGGTCTTAGAAACTGAGGAAACTGATGAATGGTGATGGGAGAAGTCTCCATGCCAGATCTGATATTCTGAGAAAAAATCCCCTGGTTTGTTCACTGAGTTGTTCTTAGTAGCGCATTGCCACTGTTCCTTTCCAGAGCTGGCAGAGATTTTGTGTTCAAGGCTTCTTCTAAAGTGGGGTAAATCACTTCAAAAGGTGTGAGTGTTGTTCTTTAAAAGTGAATTCTCAGTTATAACTTAAGTCCGCTTGGAAATCACTGACTGAAATACCACCTCTGCTATAATCTGTGGTCTAAAGCTCTGCTAGGTCCAAGATGTTTTTTTCCATAATAAAAAAACACCTCATGCTGATGGTTCTGTAGGCAAATAATGTAACATCTGAAGAGATCTCCAAAGCTCATGACAAATAATTTTCTAGAATTTTTTCTTCTTTGGCTTGTGCTTGAGGACTGCTTTGAGCCAAGGTGACCTCTGATTGCTGGCTGGGTTCTTTGTAGAGCTAAGAATGGGATGGGATAATAGAGGACAACATCGAGAGAAGTAAGAAAATCTTTGGTGTTTTACATCATTTGTACCTTCCAGCCTTTCAGCAACTTTTTGTGCGTCCTGTAGGTACAGCTAATAATTCCTTATTGCTTTGAATTTCAGGTCTTGTGTCTATAAGAACGACCAAGCAGCAAAAGAGAATCCAGGTAAAAGCCTTCAGGAAGAGGAGCCCTGCCCAAGGTTTGCCCATCAGCTGGTGTATGATGAGTTGCACAAGGTATGAAGTGATTTTTTTTTTTTTAAATCTTCTTGCTCTTAAGATGTAGCTCTTTCCTTAAAGATAGTACAATAAATATACTTTCTGAATGTTTGGATTAATATGGTAACTCTCACTTAACTTCCCATATTTTGAAATAAGGTGCTAAACTATTTTTATATCATCTGGGATTTAATGTCACCTGTTGGTGGCTAAATGAGAAAAGATGGTTACCAAAATTTCTAGTAAAATATGTGTTTAAATGAACTAATCACAGTTAAGAATCTTCAGAACCAGGGGTGCCTGACTTTGCCCTCCATGTCAGAAGCAACTGTCATTCTTTAGCACTGTCAGCCTCCAATGGACACATTCATACTTAAATAGACTTAAAATTTGCTTTAGTGTATATGACAGCTCAGTGAACTTAGGGCTTTGTGCATATTAACCAATAAAGCACAAACTCACAGATCAGGTTCATAAATTCATTAACTCATGAATTTAAATTACTGTGACACATTTACTGATCCTTTCATGGATTTTTCTATAATTTTCCCTAGTCTGAAACAGTCTGAGTTAAAGAAAAACATATTTTAGTCTTGCATCCTGTGGGATGCTAATCAAGTTTGGGAAACCCAACTAGCCCAAAACTTGACAATAAGAGGGATTTTAAGGAGGAGTGGATGCAGCTTCTGTACGGAGAAATTGCATTGCTTGTTGTCTTCACTGTAATGATACAGTAAATAAATAAATACTGTTCTGCCTTTACTGCTAAGTGTAAGGCACCATGAGACAGAGTAGTATTTTCTGAGTTACTCTGAATAAATCATCTCAGTTGCCCAGCTTTATCTGAGGAGCTGTTTGATGTGCTTGTTTTGAAGAGTCTTATTTTTAGAAACCTCTGTTCCAATGACCTTTCTAAACTCCTCTGATATAAATAAGGAGAGCCTACAGCAGTGGGATGCAGAATACATTGTTTTGACTGATTATTTTTAAAGCTGTGGGGAAAGGTAGCTTGTTGGACTTGTAAAACTTCAGTATTTGAAGGTCCTTTGTAGCATGTCTAATATCAACAGTTCAGAGTCTGAAATTACCACACGATGGGAAGAAAAATGTAGCGAAGAAATAAACAGCCCTTTTGTGATACTTCCACTTTTCTGGAAATCTGCCTCTCTCTGTAAGTCTAGAGTATGCTGGACTGGGCTTGCTGTCACTTTACTTTGGACATCTTGAGGACTTCCAACTCACTTTGTCAGTGCTTAAGGATTTATGACACTCATAGGTTTTTCCTAAAGAAAGAGTTTGCATGAATGTTGCATGTTTATTTATAGATCTCTCAGGTGTCTGCTAGAGGGATGTTCTAACAGTACAACTCTTATTATCTTAAAATGTAAATGGTTCAAGAGGACTTCCTTAATCTCCAAGGGGACAAAGTGAAGATAACAATAAGATGGAGCAACTTGTCTAAAAGGCAGAGTTTCTCCCACCAGAATAAACCTCTGCAAAACTGCTGACATAGTAAATTGCCTTTGTTCAGTGGATTTATACAAACAATCAATTTTTTGATCTGCCTCTCATTTCCTTAGGTTCATTACTTATTTGGAGGGAATCCTGGTAAATCCTGCTCTCCAAAGATGAGATTAGATGATTTCTGGTCTCTGAAGCTCTGTCGACCTTCAAAGGAATACCTGCTAAGACACTGCAAATACCTCATCAGAAAGCACAGGTATAGAAACAAAGGTGGTTTGCAATTTTCTTTTCCAGGTGTCTCTTTTTTTTCCAAGTTGCTGAGACTCAAATCTCTCATAAACCATTTTGTGAAATGTCATTTTGTTGGTTATGTGGAACTAGATGATCTTCAAGGTCCCTTCTAAACCTTCTGCAGGTTTCTTATTATTTTTAAAAATTATTGTCATAAAAAGCAGTGGGCCAGGGCTAAACTACAAAATTAACTTGATTTATTTTGCCTATGCTATTCTAAAACTAAAAAATCTGGTTATTGTGTGGGGAGTCATGGGGAATTTTTAGATTCCCTTTTCACTCTGCTGCTCATCAACATGTGTTTTGGTGCTGTCACCTCCCAAGGAAATGGAGTATGTTTTGGAAACACTGTTCTTGGAGATAGTAACAGCCTGCAAGGATGCTAATGAAGTCTGGGGGCTGGATGCCTTTGCACATCTGAGACTCAACCGTGGTGAGGTCATCAGAGTTTCTCATTCAGAAACTCCTGAAAGAGCTCACTTAGGCAGAATTCAGCTACTCTGCAGTGCTTCCTGCACTCTGGATGCTTCAGAGCTGCTTTATATTTGTCATTTAGGGCAGCAGCTTTTCAAAATCAAACCTACGGTGTTGCCTTAGTCAAGAAATTGCAGCAGTGAGAGAGCCTTTCAGGACCCAGCAAATCATTTGAAGGCAGTAAATAGCTCTCCCTGCATTCTGGGGGAGAATACTTTGTTATCAGGCTCTGCCAAGAGTTGGAAGGTCAGGTTTTCCTGATGGTATTTTATTTCTGAGGCAGCAAGCAAATTGCTGTACTCAACTCGCAGCACTGTGGCTGGGTGAGACATTGAGATTAGCCACACAGTAGATGTGAGCACCTACAAGAATGAATAAAGGCCTTGCCCAGTTATCTTGGGAGGCTTATTAAACCCAGATGCCGTGGTATGGAAATGCAGCTGTGCATTTCCTCCAGTGACAGCTCTGGATTATTTGTTTCTACTTGCTTAAGTTGCTCTTGAAGGAGATGTTGCTGTATGTTATCTGGCAGGATTTTGGGGTTTTTGCACCGTGCTCCCAGTTTTTGGGTCTGTGTGAGGGAGCCAAACCTGAGCAGCAGGGATGGTGGGATGGGTGGCTGGCTGGAGCTGAATTGCTGTGGAGTCACTGGCTGCCCTTTACCTGCACTCCCCCAAGCTCTAGGTACCAGAAGAGGTGCTGGCCTTGGATCCACACCATCAGCTGGGGTCCTGTTTTTCCTATGAACTTATTTAGTACCAGCCAACAAAGCTGAGCAGGTGGAAAAGAGCACAGTGGCCATGGTTCCAATCATTTAAAGCACTTCAGCTCTCTGGACCATGGTGCTGTCATCTGAGAAAATTTATGACAGTGTTTGAAACCACATGTAGTGACCAAAGTGTCGGATGCATCAGGTGGCACACAAGGTCCTTGTGCTCCCTGTGCTGCTCAGTCACTGACATCTTTAGGCAGTTTCAAAATTCAGGCTACACATGTCCAATGTGGTATAAATAGCCAGGTAGATGGCCCAAATGAAAAAATAACAATATGAGAAGATGACAGTGTCATGCTGCACTCACTGGATAGGTGAGAGGAGGAAAGAGATGATTTTAAACCTCATCCTTTCTAGGCTTATGCAACCAACTCAGTGCTGCAGGGAAGTAGCTCTGCTCACTGAGGATGCTGAGCCCAGAATCATTTCCTGAGGGCTCTGTTCGCTTCTTGAGGGAATTCACAGAAGTTGCAGTTCCTGTTCATTAAAAGAAAATGAGGAAATAACGGTGGTGGTGCAGAGGATTTTTATGGAGCTGTGCTCTTTCCAAAGGTTGGATGTTCATATCCTAGGGTCCGAAGTGCTCAAGGCTTGCCTGTGTCTGATCTGTGAAGTGCTGCTCACACCTTACTTCATTTGTGGAAAACAAGCTGTACTCAATATTTTATATTTATATATTAACAGCTTCCTGTGCATATACTTTCAAATATTTTTAGTACTAATGCAATACTTTGCCCTTTTACCTCCTTTGCACCTCAAAAAGACCCTCTTCCATGTTTCAGTATGGCTTGAAATTCCAGTGAACATGAGGCTCAGCTGCCATTAACATGGTTTTCTTTGGAAGTACTGGGTTTGTTAGTTGGGTTTTGCTCTTTGTTGAACCAGTAGTGTTTAGTCCTGAAGGAAATGGCTGTGCTCAAGTTTTCTGTCTCTTCTCTGCAGGTTTGAAGAGAAAGCTCAGACTGACCCTCTTAGTGCACTGAAGTACCTGCAGAATGATTTATATGTAACTGTGGATCACTCGGACCCTGAGGAGACAAAGGAGGTGAGGATCAATGATCCTTGTCCTAACTCACTGAAAGTTTTGAGCCTCTTAAACCTGGGCTTTATTCAGTTTGTAAAAGCTTTGCATGTGCCAGACACTTTGCTGTGTCATGTATTTCTCTGCACTTAAGTCACACTGTTTTGGAAACAGTCATTTAACAACTGCAGGTCCAGATAAAATAACTTTTGTACTCCTAAGAGTGAAGACTAGGCCTTTGTTTTAATTCCAGTGTGCTGGTGTATATTTTTGGAGCTTTAATTGAAATGTAAACTCTCTGAAATGTCACCAGTCTGTAGTTGGTTGTGCAGTAGAAAGGGAGTACAAACTTACTTGTGCTCAGGCCTCTCAATATTCAGCATCTCTGGGGAGGGAGAGCTTTTCCAAAGATGATCAATACTTCTGGAAGTAGTTTATACCTATTCATTGTTTGCTACCCTTAAAATCTTATTTCCTTTGCCTTTTGAATATTATCCAGTTGGCATGTTCTTTATTTATTCCAGGAATTCGTTCCCATTTCCTGTTTTGATTCCAGTACCACAGTGCGTGTCACTTTACAAAATGGATTAAAGAAATAGTGAGAAGTGTCAGATAAGGTGGTTGATTTGACTCTGGTGTTTATTTCCATGTGGTATTTGGGGCAGGCAGCTGAGATGTGCCAGTGTTTAGCTCCTGATGGGTAGATAAGGAAAAGTCTGGGGTTGCTGTCTTCTTTCCTTAATGACTCGGGAAGGGATTTGACAGCTCCTTCTATAAAATCATGATAGGAGCAGGAGCAGTTCTGTTCCATGCTGAGTCCCTGGATTAAATCTCTTAATCTGGTGGCTTTAACTTGCTACTTTAGCTAAAGAGAAGATTATACAGACACTGAAAGGTCTTGGAGAATATGCTTCTTGTGTGTGCACAGGATGGAATTGTAGGGTTAGAATTAGGGAAATTCTATCAGGATCTTGGAAGTGATCACATTTGTCATAAATTCTAATCAGCCTTTATAAACATGTGATTCAACAAAACATTTAAGTGCTGTGACTCTATGTTCTCTGTAAATGGTTTCTTGTTCAAATTGTTCCATACAAAGTAGTTTCACATCCTTTCTCGTCATTTCTTGCATAGGAAAGACAACAGATGATTATGCTTTTCAAAAGGTAGAAAAGGAGATTTATTTTTTTTTTCCCAATAAGTGCCATCTTCCCAGTGTGGTAACACTTCCAGAGTCTTGGAAGCTGGAAAAGCCATTTAAAGTTGTCAAGTGCAGCCATTTCCCCAGCACTGCCACGGCCACCACTAAACCATGTCCCCAGGTGCCACATCTATATGGCTTTTAAATCCCTCCAGGGATGGGGATTGCACTTCCCCAGGCAGCCTTTGCCAGAGCTGGACAACCCTTCTTTGTGAAAAGTGAATTTTTTCCTGATACCCAGTCTTAACTTGAAGCCACTTCCCCTTGTCCTGTGTTTTATTACTTGGGAGTGACACCCCACACCTCGGCTGTCCCCTCCTGTCAGGGAGCTGTGCAGAGCCACAAGGTCCCCCCTGAGCCTCCTTTTCTCCAGGCTGAGCCCCTTTCCCAGCTGCCTCAGCCTCTCCCTTCCCCAGCTCAATTCCCCTCCCTGGACACACTCCATCCCCCTCAGTGACGTTTTTGTTATGAGGGGCCCAAAACTGAACCCAAAATTCAAGGTTTCTTCTTCCTGTTTGAGCCTGTACTAACCCATACAGTATAAGCCCCCATTCTGATGCTCTCTTTTCCCCTTCTGCTCCCTCCCACTCCTATAAGATGTGTTGTGTGTTCTCTGAACTCCATTTTTCTCCATGTCACACCTGTGTGCTGGTAGCTTGTCTCTCCTCAGCTGGTTATTCCTAAGGAGATCTTGCATCTCATGGCTGGCTGGGCCTTTTTATTATACCCTGAACAGCAAACATCTGTGGTGTGATGAGCAAGCTTCTCTCCTAGTTCCTGCTTCCTCCTGTCGCCCACAGACCAAAGGAGCTGCTGCAGAAGCTGCACGATGGGTACATCTGGCACAGGAAAGCCTTTAATATCCCTCTTTTACTTTTCCCAGTTCAGTGTTCTTCTTGTCTACCTTGTAGGAATGGAGAACTTACATGACTGCATGGGCTCCTCTGAGATTTTGGGGGAATGTAGAAGCTGTATCATACCAGGTAGAAATAGAATAAAAATGTTTGAAAAAAAATGACTACCCCTTTTCAGAGAGCACACTGGTGTTCTGAACATTAATGATCCAGCAAATGAGCTTACATAGCTCAATCCAGCTGAGTGAATATATTGTGGGCTCTTTCTCTGCAGGCCTAATGTCTGATCCAAACAAAATCCAATAGCTTCTGTCTGTCGTGCTGGGCCGTCGGATCAGCACGCACCATTCAGCACAATTAAAGCTTCCAGCCATTTCAGCCATCTCCAAAATCATTTAACAGTTTCTGGGATGCTTTTTTGTTTGGGTTTTTGGTTGTTCTGTTTTGTTTTTAATTATTATTCATTATGCTGGTTATAAAGCTTTAACTTGCAAAGCTTTTTTACCCTGGGACAGATCTGCCAGGGCTGTGGCACAGAGCCAGCTGCTGGGCTGGTACTGACTGGGTGCATTTCCAGTTGACGTCAATTTACCTTCCGGTTATCACATCGAGTTGGCTTTTTGCTCTGGCATTGCATCTTCAAATAGCTCCTGTGCTTTCCAAAGGACTGACGCAGGCATTTTGGATTCCATATCGAATTTCAAGCACCAGTTTGATTGTGTCTCTCAGCCCAAACACCTCCATACCCTGCCTTTATTTGATTTGTATCTTGATTAATAGCAAAGGCAGTAGATGTGATTGGCTGCAGCCACTGAATGCTGTAAGGCTTCTTAGAACTTTAGGGAATCAATTCCTATCTGTTTTCTCTCTTTTCAGGGCAACTGTTAAATTTGGGAGGGCTTGGGCTGAATAGTTTTATCCCCAACTTTGTGCAATAGTTCTGGAGACTGGCCTGTATGGCTTCATGTTTTATGGATGGAGATCTGGGTGGTGTTATATACCATTACAAGCAGAATTTCCCCTTGTGGTGAGGCTTGCTTGCTTTGTAATAGAAGTAATTCCTTCTGACTTACTTAGGCAAGTCTGTTCAGCTGTTTGCAGTTGGATGCCAAGGAAAACAAACAGACTGTTCTTGAAACTTACTTTGGCATTAGTAACCGATTTTGTTTAAAGTAGCATGAATGATTGATAGTAGGACCATACCCCAAGATTTTCATTCTGTTGCTGTGAATTTTAGAGATGCTGAGGACTTTATTTTTTATTACTCTGAAATTAAGTAGATGCCTGCACGTAGCAGGTATTGCACGAGTGCTTGGTTTAGTAGCCACAGGCTGTGTGCCAGCAATTTCTCTGCCCACAAATGCAGATCCAGTCCCTTTTAACTGTGATTCTGCTTGGCATCACTTAAACCTCTTCAGTAAGTTCAGTGTTCCCAAATTAGTGGATCTTTTTTACTGGCTGTGGGTTAATAGCCCTGACACTGTAGGAAAAGGAGGGTAAGTCCCTAGAAAATGGGGAATTTTTCCTGTGATTTAACAGATTAAAAGTTGTATAAAAGCATCATTTGCTGGTGTAAAATTTTCTGTTGGTGTGGCTGTTCTTCTCTGTCACACAGATGTGAATTTGGTGGAAGATTACAAAAGCAGGCTTTTAAAGATAAAAGGATGGTCAAAATAAATATCAAATTGAATTCCAAATTTTGTACTTAGAGAAAAACAGGTGTTGCTAGAGCATAGAAACATCAGTAGTTTATGTATAAAAGCTAAAGATGCTCCTTGAATATTGCAGTAATCATACCCAGAACTTTGCTGCTGTTAAGTGGGCTGCAGTAGAAATCAAGATGACACAAAAAATGTCCAGTGCTTTCCAAGTACGGGAAAGCAGGATGATTTTGATTTTGTACATGGAGATTCAGCAACTGATGAAGCTCAATCCCATGATTGTTGTAAAACAGATACAAAGCACAAGGAAAACTCACAGTATGTTTTTCTTGGAGCATGGTAGGAGAAAGAGCAAGGACCTGGAGGCCAATCCGAGGCCTGACTTGCTTGTAGACTGAGCCTGTTCAAGGCTGCTTCATACTTTCCATTCTTAAGACCTTGTCTTTAATAAATTTGACAGATAAAGCCAGCAGGGCCCAAAAGTATTGTTTGAATATGCATTAGACTGATATTTCTGGGAAAATTGAAGCCCAAATGGGAAAAATAATTCTAGGAAGGAGCTAAGAAAAGGCTGTTTCTCTTCTTTGTGTCCTGCTGTGATTCTTTGTAAAGCCTCAGAGGCCGAGTGCTGCTGGAGCAGAGGCTTTGGAGCCAAGGAGCCTTTACAGAAACAGCGTTCAGCCTTCCCAATTTCAGCAACAGCTCCATCCTCAAAGGATTTGAGTCTCTTTCTGCCTCTTTAAGCCTGTGCTGGGAGCCACCAGCCCCAGAGAACTGGTCAAAGCTGAGGAACTGGTTTATGCTGGGATCTGGGAGCTCACATGCAGACGTTACAGAGGAGGGGGAGGAGGAATTGTGTCTGATTCATACAACCTGCCAGGTATCCCAAACAAGAGCTACTCCTTCCCCCTTAATCATTTTGTTTGTGCAAAGGCAGAGGTGTGCAGCAAATATATAAAAATAGCATAGTAGAACCTTTTATTAGTTAACCAGAGGTATTTATCTCCAAGGAACCCCTGCCCCTGTTCAGAAGGTTGGTTGGATCTCCGAGAGAGAAGTTAATTGTGTAACAAAGGGAACTGCTGTCTTTTGAGGCTTAATTTGGAATGGATGAAGCCAGTGAGCCAGAGGGATTGTCGGAAGAAAATGGGTGGTGGTGTGATTAAAGCAGTTGGATGCTTCTGCTGGATAATTGAATTCTGCTTTTGCCTCCATAACAGAGTTGCTATGTGATATTAAGCAAATTGTTTTTCCTAGATGGTCATTAATTGGGTGTTTCATTCTGGTGCCTGATGGGAGAGATCTGAGGTGTGATTTGCTTGAGAGCTTTTCTTTTTCTGTGTTGCATAACACTACATATTTTGAAAGATCAGATACTGTTAGTTTCAAATAAACCCAAAATTAATCAGAGTTTGAAGTGCCATCTGTTAGAATAACAATTAATATGATAAGAAAGTCAATGAAGAAATTAATTCCTTCTTTAGAGCAGAGCTTGAACTTCGTGAAGAAAATAGTACATTGGATATCTGCTGGGAACAGCAGGAGACCTGGTATTGAGTGAACAGTAACTGTCCTATGCTTTGGGGGAAAAAAAATAGGGATCCTTTGGGAGAACATTGTAGGGTTTGGGATTGTAATACAAAAGCAGAGTGAACCAGCTTAGGCTCAGCACTGTCCTTAACTGATGTTCTTAACTCACATGCTTGACTTTTCCATCAGAAAGTGCTTTTCAAGTGTGAGCTGATACACAAATTTAATTTCAAACCAAACAAACAACAGCCCTCAAGGCTAGCTCAAGTGTGGTACCATCAGCAGAGAAGGAAACAAGATCCTCCTTCCCTGCAGATCTGCAAAGAAACTCATAGCCATGAAAATCTATCATGTGTGGTGCAGATGAGGCTGGAATACTTGGCAGAGGCCGTTTTCAGCAGTGTTTTGGTCTCAGGTCAGCGAGTTCCTGGCTGAACCCTGCTCATCTGGTCTCTTAGTTGGGCACCTGAGCCCCAGTGTGGCTTTGTGCTCCCAGCAGGGCGTTCCTGCAGGAGCACAAGAACCCCTGGAAGCTCTTGGCGTCCGCTTCGTCCCAGCTTCGTGTGACACCAGGCAGCTGGCAGAGGGCCCAGGAGGCAATTGTGTGGGAGGGAGGGATGGCCAGAGCCTGGCATTTGCTCTCAGAAGCTGCACAGATTTAGCCATGGGTTTTATTGGAACTTTTGGAGCTATTTATGCTGGGCAGCTGTTTAAGTACGGTGCTGCTGGGAAGCCAAGCTGCCCTCACAAATGAGGCTCACGGTGGAATCCATGTGTGGCATTGCAGTGATTTTGTGTAACTAGGCCTCACACACAGGAGGGCACTTTACACCCCCTTTCTCCTTATCTCCAGTTTGTCAATCTTGTATCCTTCCCACCATACCCTCCTCAAAGGATGCAGACTTACCCTAGAACACTACAGTCCTTATTTTAGCCTGTTTTTTCCCTTGATGTCACATTGAAATTGATCTTACTGAAGTGTTTTTGTAGCTTCTTGCATTTGGTTGTAGATCTGCTTCTTGTAGCAGCCTTTTGCATCTGTGACTTCTGGCAGTTTTGTGCTTGGCCATTGTTCTACAGCCCTGACTCCTTTGAGCTTTCTTCATAGAACTTGTTTTTCAGAACACTTAATTTTTTTTTCTAGTGCTTTCCTCATATGTTGCTAACTGATACAGGGCATCCCAAAATGGGTGCCTTGTTGCAGAGGAGACTTTAAAACAGCAAGAGTATTTTATTTGAAGATTCTGCTCCTTTTCATGCATTTGTCAGTTTAATAATAAAGTGATACTGATCTGTTGTAGCTCCTAAGTGCATTTTCACAGAGCCTCTGCACCTGTTCCGTATTGCTGATTTTTCCTGTTTATGTTGATTTGCACTTGGCCTTGGTGAAATGCACCTCAATCCATCATCATAATTTGGATTAAGTGGAAAAACAGTTGGAAATCTGTCTGTTCCATGCTGGCAGTCAGTCTGAGTGCGGTGTAAGGTCTGGTGATCCTGCCCTGTTCTGCCAAGCAGGTTATCACTGAAAATCCAGGGTGATGCTGACCCTGGGGCACAGATGAATCATTCCTGATTCGAGGCTCCATTTTGATGTCAAACCATTGATGGCCACCCACAGTAAAGTTATTTGACCTGTTTGCCTTTCCCCGTTGGCTTAATCTAAGTGGTGCCTTGACAACGTGCCTTAAATATCATATGAAAGTGTTAGAATTCCTATGAATGTCAGAATGGACAAGGTCTATTGCCAAGTCCCATCCCCAGGGCCTTCTGCCTCGTAAGAGAAATCAGATTGATGTGCTACAACTTGTTGTTGCCAAATTCACGTTGGCTGCTACTCATCACCTTCTCCACTCCTACATGCCTACAAATTGTCTGTGTTCCCATTTTTTCTTGAAATTGAAATTAAACTGGTGGATATGTAATGCCTGGCTGTTCTTTCCACTCCTTCCCTGAACATATTTGCTTCTCTTCTGGCTTTTTCCTCCCTTCGTTTCCTTCAGGCTGGGTGCTGAAAAGACACAAGGGTAGGAGACACAAGATTCCAAGGCTTTAAGGAATCAACTCTTTCTTTGCAGGAGCATGACAAAGCACTAAGCTTTGCTGTTCCTTGGCTAACTGGAAACAGCATTCAAGGGGCAGAGGAAGACACTGTGGTCACCATCTATCAGTGAGACATGAAGGGAGAATAAAACCATGAATGTGTTAAATAAAATGTTTTTATTCATGGCCTTGATGTTCCCTAACAAAGAATTTTTACTTTCAGTTAAGAAGATATTGCCTTAAATTTGTGATATGAGATCTCTGGCACTGCAAAGGGTTGTTGTCATTAGAACCATAGAGTGGTTTGGGTTGGATGGGACCTTAAGGCCATAGGCAGGGATGCCACCCGTTAGATCAGGTTGCTCAGTCCAACCTGGCCTTGAACACTGGCAGGGTTGGTTGGTTATCCACAGCTCGTCAGGGCAGAGCTTACTCTGTGTTCAAGAGATTCATGCTCACTCCAGCAATTACCCTGTTTTTGTGCCATCTAATCCTTGGCTGCTGAGCCTGTACCATGTTAATCTCTGGGAATGTTATTGTGTGGAAGAGACTCTACCTTCTGCCAAAGAGGCAAAAAATTATATGTGAAAAAAAATAGATTTTTAGAGCTCTCAGTCAAATACCTTTCATTGCATCAACACTGCTCTAATTCTAGGAAAAACCATCTAACTTGTGCCAGGATGACAAGTTGTAATGCTCGTGTGGAAGTGCCTGCTGCTGTTATTCATGTGTATGACACAGGAGTTACAAGGGTTGTGTAGAGAAAACACAGCAACTCTAAAGCTGTGTACTTCTAAAGCTACTTGTACTTCTGTGACTCCTTTGGGGTTTTTGCCTGTGTGGTTAATAACACTTTTTTTCTTTCTTTGTCCCTTTACCTCTTCTGTAGTTTCAGCTTCTTGCCTCAGCATTATTTAAGTCTGGCTCGGATTTCACGACTCTTGGTGAGTATTGTGTGTCAGAGGAATTACATGATGTTCCCTTTGATAATTACTCTTAGTTTCTACTGGTTTTTATATCAAATGTTATAGTTCCTATCAACATTTCAGGCACTTTTCAATATGCAAAATACCACTACCCAGACATTTGAGAGGTTATTTATAATGACCAGTGTCCAGTGCCTCAAACCCATATTTGAAACATCTGTCAACATCAGTGGTTTTAAACCAATGCCTCCCGGGATCATTTTGTGTCTCTTATTACATCTGATCCTTCGCTGTTACCCAAGTAAACAGAAGCTTTGGTCAGAATAAAGCACCTCCTGTCATGTCACTTTGGAATCTCACAGCATGGCTACGGCTCTGTTTGCTGTGATAACTGCAATTCCTGGAGTAGTTTGGTTCGCTCTGTTCTCTGCAGAACGAGTTCTTTGGGCAGAGTGTCAAGAGCGGAGAAAACAGTGGCGTGAAGGGCTGGAAACAGGAGGGCTGAGCCAAAGCCATGATTTGTTTCGCCGCTGTGTCCAGTTAACTCTTTGAGTGGTCTGAGCCTCATCCTGGGCAAGCTCTAGGAGAGCTACAGGCAGAAATTACATCCTTGTACTGCTGGAGTATCCTCAAGTCACTGAGCTCTTGCTAAGAGAATTGATGAATTCAGTTTTTGATGGAGGAATAATTCCCAGTCTAAGAAACTGAGGGAAAGTTAAAGCCCACTGCAGTTCTGCCCTGCTGGATGAGGAAGCTCTGCTGAGTTCCTGTGGTTTGGAAGACATCAAGTTGACCCTGTAAGATGAACTTTTTTTAAAGAAAGAAAACCCAAGTTGCAGAAAAGTTGGGTTTTCCATAGGCTGGTGAAAACTCATGGTTTGGGCTGGAAGGGACCTTCAAAAATCATCTCCTTCCAACCTCTTCTGCCGTGGGCAGGGACACCTTCCACTATCCCAAGTTGATCCCAGCCCCATCCAACCTGGCCTTGAACACTTCAGCTATGGGAATTTGCAGCTTCCCTAGGCAACCTGTGCCAGTGCTTCACCACCCTCAAAACTTTTCCCTACTTTTAAGCATTTAAAAAGATGAATTCGTTCTTGACTCAGTACAATACTTTATCCAGATTGTGGGTTTACAGATAGGAGGGTATGTACATCAAGAGAGGCTTTGAAAATAAAAAACCTAGCCCTCCTTGTTTTGATTATCTTGGTTGACTTTGATTAACTGAAGAGTGAGTTCACTGAATTAAAAAGCATTCCTTTGAGATAGCAGCAATGGAAGTAATCCAAAGCGGAGGAGATCATTGTGTGCCTGCCCTGTTGTTCTTGGTGATGGTTTTAGTGCAGGATTTGAATAAACAATGCAAACCAAACCCTGCGGCGTTGGAGGCAGCACTCCAGAAAACAGTTTGCAAAGCTCCCGTGTGCCAGGATGCAGCCAGGTGCAAGTCCAGTGAGTAAATACCAACTCTGAGTTGGAACTCCTGCTGTCAGCAGAGCTTATCTCAAGGAAAACTCCAAGCAATCCAAGGAGCAGTTCTGGTTATGGCAGTGACGATAATGAAGAAAGCCTGAGGACAGAAGAAATGAGGCACCAAATAAAAATAGCTACATGGATTTTATTTTCTGGGACATCAGAGCAGTCCCCTGAGAACTCCTCCTTCCCCTGTTTCTTCAGGGCTGTCAGTGAGCTTGACAGGCATTTGTTTATTACTTTTTATGGTATTTTGATGGCAGTGATGGCTTGGGGTGACATAATCTCTGTATATGTGCTCACAGGAGTGGGACGGAGAGCTGGCAGCCTTATTAGTGGAGGCAGAGGGAGCTGTTAACATTTATCCCAAATGGACAATTCCACAGCTAAACTGAGTGTTTGGGATTGGGAAGAGTCACTTACTTTCCCCTTTCCTTCCTCCCCCAGGATTTTCAGACGTTGACCACACGTATGCTCAGAGAACTCAGCTGTTTGACACGTTAGTCAACTTCTTCCCAGACAACATGACCCCTCCTAAAGGCAACCTGGTGGACCTCATCACGCTGTAACAGAGCAATCACTGGACACATGGAAGAGGGGAAAAGCATCCATTTTCAGTATTTTAATTTTTTTACTGCATTGATTGACTGCTGGGATGAAGTTAATATAGTAACCCCTAGGTGTTTGAAAGGGGTTTTATACTTGTATGGTGAATCCCTGGAGCTTTTCCCTTGGAGTAGGTTAATAAAATGTAACTGACATACTTCTGACTAAATATATATATTTTTTCTGACTTTGGATTTTGAGTTAGCAGATATAAGATGAAAAGGTGGGGGAAAAAGAAAAAGAAATAAAACCCAGTCATGCAGTGATCTTTTTGCCTATGGGGGAAAATTTGAGATTTGTGAGTTGTCTGGGATTAAAGATGATGGGTTTTATTTTGCGTTTCCTGAGGAAGAGGGGGAAGAGGTTTTTCTTTCCTCATTTGTAGCTAGTCATGATGTATTGCTTTATCCTACAGTTCCATCCTCAGCAGCTGAATAACTTGATGGTAGGACACTGGCACATGTTGAGATGATGTAATTTACGTCCTGAGTTTTGTACTCACGGTGTGTCGCGGGAAGGCAAGCGTGTGTTCCAAACCGTCTGTCTCCCCTTCCCGGACTTGTGCTGACAGTCGTGTCCAATTGCTTCTGAGACTCCATCTAAACTGACTGCCTACATCCCTATCTCCTGTTCTCTGGAGCCTTCCACTTAAACCTGGCCGGCAAGAGGGAACCTCCGAGATGCAACCAGAAAACAGGAGTGCAGTCGCTGCCCGCACAGATCCCTTTTCAGAGATTGTTCTCTTTGCTGCTGTGCTCATCCACTGAGAAACCCTGTGGGTCCTCAGCGAGCCTGGCAGAACTGGGTCTTCCAACACACACACCCCCAACCTCTGCAACCTGACCTCAGGTTGGGTGTAGGATTTCTGAAGCAGGTTGTCTTCGTTTCCATGTGCTTCTGTGTGCGTTTGTCTGTGTGTTTGTGTACAGGGCGTTGCTCCCAACAGCTTGTCTCCTTCCCATGTAATGCAGCTCCCTTGTCAATGCATTTTAGACCTAGATCTGAATGTGAGGGAGGCCTTCTTAGCATAAATCTCTGAAAATGAGCTGATGCATATATATATATATATATATATAGAAAATGTATTCTTCCTTTTGCTGAAAGCCTTCTTTATAAACACTGTAAGGGCTTGGTGCTGCACTGTGAGGTGGAATGAAGGACATGCATACCCAGCATTAGAAACTCTGCATTCGGTCTCCGTGAGCATTCAGTACACACTGGCAGATGTAAATATTTATATGAAACTGCAAAACTCTGTCCAGCAGTGCTCATGCCAGTCGGGTATTGTTGCTGCACCCGCTGTGGCTCCTGTTGAACTTGGTGGAAGTCCCGTGTATGCAAAGATGATTTGGACTCTTGAAATAAAGAGTTAGTCAAGTGTCTTTTTCAGAGTTCGAGTGTCTGCTTGCTTTGATTGTATTGCCTCTTTATCATGTTCTTTGTGTGACTTTTGTAGTCCTGGTGCATTAGAAATAAATTTCAAAACCTCACACTGGTGTTTAATCACTTAGAAAGGAACAATATGTCAGAGGCCAGGCTTGTCTTCAGGGAGGACTGTACAAGTGAAGTGTTTTTAACCTGTCACTTGAGACTGTTCAGACATTGTACTTCAGTGGATGGCAAATCAGATGTCTGCGGAATAATCCACTCAGTGTGGGAAATGAAATCTGATGAAATTGTTTCTTTGGAACGTGGCAGGTTTTTTTCCTATTGATGTGGAAAGTTTTACATCACTGCTGGGCTTTGTGGTGTTCTACCTGTGCTGAGGCTTTGTTAACTGATGTAGAGTTTATACAGTACAAATGTAGATACTGGGGCAATATTCCAGCTGAGTTGTTGCTTCCATTGAGATCGAAATGAGCACTTTTAATGCAACCAGCCAAAATTCTACAACCTTTTAGTACTTAAATTTAGTGGTGCTGTGCTCCTTTATCACCTGATCTCATTGCTTGTGTATCCTCAGCTTCAGTCAGATGATTAAATGCTCTTTGTGGTGGTTCTGTAATTAACCAAGCTCTTCATAAGCTGTTGTGTGTCCACCTTGGAAGGCTAAAAGAACCCAAAAGATACACCTAGGTGGAGGAGCCCTGGCGAGCAGGCAGAGGAAGTTCAGGAACGTCCAGAGCTGTGGATGGTGTTGCTGGTGAGCAGTGCATCGTGTCAGGTCTGATCTGCGTGACAGGAATTCGATCCAAACTCATTGTCCTCTGCGCCGGGGGCGCGCGCGGAGCCCGGCAGCCTCGTCTCTGTGTTCTGTAGCGTCGTGCAAATCAATGATTTGTGTGAGCGAGGGGAACGTTGATTCTGCAGGACTGACAGTCCCAGCTAACGAGAGCACTTCAGGATGATCAAATATTGACCTGCCTTTGTCCCGAGCAGATCGATGCCGCTCGCACCAGCACAGTTCATGGATTGCAGCTGGTGATTAACCAGCAGAAACTTTGCTCAGCTCTGCAGTATTTGTTGAGCAGCAGAGGCACCGTGTGGCCAGAGAGGTTAATCCAAAGGGAAAGCTTTCTGTGGCTCTGCCAAGGGTCTTTCCTTCTTTTTGTCCTTAAGGCTAGGAGTCAAATGATCTCTTTGCATTGGTGTATGCTGCATTACCTGCTTTAAATTTTTAACCAGAAATTCTGACTGAAGTATAAATTTCCTTTCAAAACCGGCCACTTGTTGTCAGGCAGCAACACAGGTAGTTTGCATTTCATTGCATGCTGATCTTTAAAGACACTGGTGATATTCCAGGAAAGCATCTGATGTGCTCATTACAGAAAGCCCAAAAATACAAACAGTAAAGAAACCCATTGGATCTGAAAACAGCCACCTGAAAATGTTTCACAGCTCAGTGCATGCAAGGTCATAAATATCCGAGCTGTGCTTGAAAAGTCTTGGAACCTCACCATCGTTGCTTGTAGGCTGTGCCTGAGGCTGCTCTTTAGCTTAGACAAGACAAACATACTCTATTTGCCTTTACTTTAGATTATAAGGTGACTTTGTGTATGATCTTGACACCACATAATCTTTGCACTACAGTGAGTAGTTTTATCTGTAAATTCTGTGTTAACTTGTAAATAAGGTATTGCGAAGGAAAGCATCTTTCCTTGTCAGAGAGGGACTCATTCATCACGTTTTGGGTCTTTAAAGCCAAAGTTCAAGGTTATGATATGTCTTTTAAAGCTAGAGGAAGTTAGGGTGAGGTAAACTTGATACAGATATCCAGACTTCACTCTTGGTTTAGCTTTTTTTTTTAAATATCCTTTGAAATCCCTGTGTTTGGTTCTTTACTGACTCTGACCCTTATAATACCCTTCATTGGATGATCTCCTTGCAAAACAAGAAATTATTCTTTATGTTGTTCCTGTCAAGTGACACATTTTCTTAGAGAAATAAAGCCCTTTGGAATTAATTTTTTTGGTCACTTGGATTAGGTAGAATTAAGTGAGTTTGTTAATGTTTGTTTTACACAACCCCTCATAGTCACGAGGTAGACGTTGTTAAGAGCTCTCCCAAAATGACTTCTCCAAGCATGTTCTGCTCTTGCAATGTGACCCAAAATGTTGTCATGTGGCAGAAGGACTTTGTTACGTGTTGTTAAATGAGATTATAACCACTTTAGCCACCTTTTTGCCTCTTTTCTTTTGAGGATCTCATTAGTTAGTATTGGTCCTGGGAAGGCCTGAAGGGTGATGCAAAATGTTCATTGAAATGAATTGAAGTTGTTATCTTCTGGCTCTTTTAAAGATATTTGTGATGTGTTTATTCTTATAATCTCTTCCTTTTGCTGAGCATAATGAGGAAGGAGAACTTTGTCTTGGAAAAGTTTGGTTTGCCTTTTCCCTGGGTGGCATCTTGCATGGGTAGTTAAAGTAGTTGTACCCAACTGTGTAAATAAACCTCTGGAATTTGGTTTTTGTTTGCCTGGAATGGCTCTGGGTGTACACAGGTACATGCTGGCTCAGGGATCACGCTGGAGCTTCCTATCAGAACTTCAGTTAGCAAAATCTTATTTTGAAAAATCAGTCTGGGAACACTCAGTTGGAAAAGCTTTTCTAAGGCATTGCCTTGTGCAGTGGCAGCTGGAGTGAAATTAGGAATTTTCCTAAAGAACATGAAAAAGCTTCCCTTTGTGGAGCCACAAAGTTAAATGAAATTGCTGAAACTTTTTGGTTATTGATTATAATTAATTACCCAGCCTGAAAATTGAGTGATTTAATGATTACAGTTTAAAGATTGAGGAGTCAGTAAGCAAATTAACTGGACCCACCTATTTGCAGGGGGATGGCAGAGGTGTGGGAGTGGTGGCCAGGGATTGCCACTGCTCCATCTGTGTGTTTCTTTAATTGGAAGCCACGAGTGTCCAGGGCTCCATGAGCTATTCCTTCTTCCAGAAGAAACTCCTTCCAAAGCCGAGTAATGACTCTGGAAGAGTGTTTTCCATAGGGCTTTGTGGAACAGCTGTTTGCTGAGCCATTTTCCTGATGTGTGCAGATTCTTCCAGGGGAGTTTTCTCTGTCCCAAAGTTTTGTGCTGTGCCAGCCTGCGCTGGTGAGTGATGGATTCAGAGCAGGGTCCTGAGGAATGCTTCAAACTTGTTTGCTGCTCTTACTGTGAGAAAGATGAGCATTAATGCTGCTTGTGTCAAACTCAGGAGGGTGGTAGGTAGCTGTAACACAAATACTATCAGCTGTCTTGCTGCCTCCTGCATTTCAGAATCGAGAAATAAATACTTTTGTAGAGCTTATTGAGTGAACTTTAAGTTTGAATAACGTGAGTACAGCCTCCATCTCTGTACAGGTAGTAGTTCTGCTGATGTAATCCTGTGCCACTTCTGGGGAGAATGGCAAAAAATAGTAGATATGTTTCCATTTGGTCCTGTTGTTTTTAAAAGTGGAAAAATGTCTTGTGAAACCTTGAGTCCCCGTGTATGCTTTGAATTTTAGATTATTAGTTGGCTCAGAGTTAAGGAATGTTTGGCTATTGTCAAGTGAAGTCCTGACAGTAAAAGCAGTTCATGTACGTCTCTGGAAGTGCTTGTGTTGTTTTATAGCTGTACTTGTTACAGAAACAGAGGTGGACCCAGTTGAAAAATTAAAATTATTGGTGTTTTGATTTAGGGGGAAGATTATAGAAACTCTGAGCTTGGCCTATTTTAATAAGTACATGTGTTAATTTGGAGATGGATCTTATTTTGTGAGAGGAGAGTTTAAGAACAACTGTATGACTTGTTCTTGCTATAGATTGCTCGTAGTATATAAGCTGTAAATACTGTTGAAATGTAAATGTGCTGTCAGAAGCTTGTTAGTGTATCTAAATGCCTGTGGGAATGGGAGACCTGATCATATCCTGTCATAGAAAAGGTTATCCTGGAGATTATTCAAGTTGTGGTAATGCCTTGTAGGCAAAACCCCTCATTTACTGAAAGCTTCTAGTATAATGAAAAGTTGGAGTGGAGAAAGTAGGTTAACTGTACCGGAACCAGGATAAGAGTCCATGGCTCAGTGCTTGGATAAATTGACTCCAGATGCTTTTGTCCGTAGGCAGTGGATCCAAACATAGCTTTGGAGTGGAAGGCAGTTAATGACCTGCTTATTGCTGCTGGAGAGTGCTACAGGAGAGCCTCCCAGGGATGCCAGCAGGTGTCCCCTCGGCATTCCGGGCGGAGGTCACGGAGCTGGCTGGAGTTTGGGATTATCCACGTGCACTTTGGTGATATCCGTAAACCTCCGAGGAGGATGCTGTGTGGGTTGTGTGTAATTCCAGCTGCGTGGCTGAGGTGTGGAGCTCTGCAGGGCAGCATCTTCCTCAAGCACAGATCCTGAGGGTAACACATTGCTGCTGTCTGCTTTGCTTTCATGGGCTCAGTTTGATAAAGGTGAACTCCAGATATTGCTGTGACCCAAATTCAATGCTCTGCTTCCAATGGAGCTGCTGTCAGTGCATCACCTCTGTACCCTGAAATCTCAATTTACACTTGGTGCAGACACAGCTCCACATTGCCTTGGCTTCCAGCTGTTTGCTGTAAGTCAGCACAGCTTTTACTGATGACCTGGAGAGTGTGAGTGCTGTCAGAACTCACTTGACTGTTCAGCTCCAGAGTGGAGTCACAGTTCATTCCTGGAAACAGGGATGTGAGTGAACAGCTCAAAACTGGCTCAGTCAGATTAGATTTTTGGGTTTGCTGCTAATTTGAAAGGAAAGTCTTACCACTAGCAGGTGTGATGGTTAAAGCACACCCCCTTGGTTATTCCTCCATTTATTCTGAATTTTCTTTCCCTGTGTGGCTGTTCATTGCTATTAAAATGCTTCAGACTTCCCTGAGTTTAATGGGCACTTACAGAGGAATTAAAGGTTAGAGCTGCATAGTGGTTATTGAGGCATCAGTTTCTCCACATCATACTCCAGTTGCTTCCTTTGCAAAACTCCATTGTGCTGCCTCTGAATCAGTCAGGAAGGTTCCTTGTGATTTACATTGTTCTCTCCAGGGCTGTTTCTGATCCCAGGTAAGGACAGGGAAACATGGGAGATGATTTCCCACTGCAGCACACACTTACTTGTGCTGTATGGAATCATATTCAGTGCTGTGATTCTTCTTCCCTCCCATCTCAAGGTTTATTTTGTGTGGCCCCAAGAAGAAAAAGGTGATCAACCCTCAAGTTGTCCTAGGTTCCTGCACCTGCTCTAATCATCCAGAACTTTCACAGGTATTGTGGTGTTTGGTTTATTTCTGCAGCATAGCAGAGCAGAGGGAGTGAGAAGAGAAATAGTTTTGGGGTTAATTATAGGGATGCCAGATGTGAGTAGGTGTGTAAGGTGTAGTCTGTCTTTGTGGAAGGGCTTCGAAGAATTCCTAACAGTAGCTTATAAAATAAGCTAAAATAATATAAAAAAGCGAAAATAATTCTAAAATCAGAGCTGATTTTACAATGTGGATTCTCTGGCTCTTTTTCAGAGAGAAGTGATACAATATCAGGGTCTCCTAATCCTGGAGCTTCACCTTGAGCTTTGGCCTCTCTCCACCCTAAAGATATCAGAGACCATAATACAAATTTTTTTCTCTCCACAGCAATTACAAGGAAGCCAGCTGGGCTTAACCCTGCTCAAACAGACTGGAGGTGGTGCAGCACCATTGGCTTTTGGATCAGGTCTGCCTGCCTTAAAGGATTGTTAAAACCTGAAAACGTTCTGAGCTTTCTGATGAAAGCTGCCAGTTCGATTAAAGGAGATTAGGTACTTTTTAATTAATATGATGGTGGGGAGGCTAGACCATAACAGTGGCTCCAGTGGTTGCAGTCATCTCCACATCCCAAATAGCAACAGATAGGTTTTACTCCCCAGTGATAGGAAAATATACTTTAAATATCCTGATTTAGTAACCAAGGGATTCAATCAATTACTCAGTGCTTCACTAAAAAGAGAAGTACTGCGGTGTGTGAACAGGGTCTGTTCATTAAAATAAAAGCTGAGGTTGAAAAGTGGGTTTTTTGTTCTTGTTTTTTTGAGGTTTTGACAAAAACTCAGCTCTTAAAAGGGGAAAATGGAGAACTACTGTGCTGCTGACTTGTTTTCCCCTCCTGTCTGCTGTGGTCATCGGGAATGCAAACTAGCAGTGGAGGGTGAATATTGCCTTCATCTCTCCCTCCTCATTCCTGTCCCCTCCTGTTGATGTTTTGATGTGCAAAACACTCTTCACTTCAGAAGCTGCTGTGCAGGGTAGTGGAAAGGAAAACAAACCCCTCATTATTAGTAGCTGTTGCCATTTGCTAAAGCTGTATTTTCTGCTGTGTCTTCCAGCACTCCCTCCTCCACAGCAGGAAATGAGGGGGTGCTGGGGAGACCTTAAACCAGAGAAAAGAGCTTAATTATACAAACAAATGTGTTCATGGGAGTCTTGGGAATTGGAGGCCCCGAACCGCACAGACCACTTTGCTGAGGGGCAGAGGGAAAGTCTGTGGGCTCATTCCCAGTTAGCTGAAGGTGACATTACCATCCTTGTGGGCTGGTGGTGTTGTACATTCAGGTGCTGAGATGCAGCATGTGTCATTTTTGGGAGTATTGAGCTTTGTTAAATGTTTGCCCTTTGAAACTGCTGTAGTTGCCCCTCTCAGGGGAGTTGGTGGCATAGACAGGACCTGGGTGGCTTGGGGTCAAACATCAGTGTTTGACCCACTGGCTGGGCACCAGACACCTGATTGGGGTGGGGTTTTGAGCTGGTTGTTGAGCTGTTGCCTCTGCTCTGATGGTGTCACTGTGGTGTGTGATGGTTTGTTTGTCTGGACTTTCAGTGTTCATTATCTTGTCCTCCATGCCCCAGTGTGGTCCCCAAAAGCTGGTTCTCCCTCCCTAGTGCTGGAAGTGTGAGTGTCCACCCCCTGTCCACAATTTGGCTTCTCTGTTCTGTTTTGGCACCCAGCTTGAAGCATTTGCACCTCCCTAGCAATCCTGCAGGCTCTGGTGTCCGTCTGGATTCCCTTTGGTGTCTGTCCTGCAGCTGTTGTCTGGGACACCTGAGCACAGGAGAGCTGAGCTGAGAGGTGCGGACAGCCCTGGGCTGGAAAGAAGCATCCATGGGGTGATGAAAGCTGTGAACTGCTCATGTGTTTCAATAGGCAGGTCAAATACTGCTTCTGTGCTGAGCCCATGGTGGTTACAGGCATCTTCCCTGGACTCTTGTGATTTTCCTTCCCTCCCCTTTTCTTTATGGATGATCTTTGTTCAGCCTGGAGTGTTAATTTTCTTCCTTGGCATAAATCATCTTTGATGATTTCTGGGTTGGTGTGTGAGCCCCATGCTGTACATAAATGAATGAGTGACACGAGGAATAACTACAAATGTAGTTATGTTGTATGTAATGTACATAAGGAGAGAATGTATTTTGTTCATTTTTTTCTTAATAAAAAAGTATATGCTAGCAAGGGTGTTGATTTAAGATCTGTTTATTCTCACATTGTTTCGGAGAGTGGAAAAATGCCTGTGAAGGTCTTTTAGTGCTGGAGAAATTGTGAAACTAGCGGTGCATTATGTCTGGCCCTGTTTCCTGACGTCACTGATAAGCTCAGTCAGTATCCCATAAATCCAGCATATTCCCAACATTCACAGGAACTTTTTCTGGGGAAGAACACAGAGTTAGAACACAGGCTGTGCTGCCCTTGGGTGATGCCTCTCCTGCTCCATGGATGAGAGGTTTGATTCCCTCCTCCACAGCCTGGCCTGAGTGCAAGGAGGGGCTGCAGACCTGAGTGAGTTAGGATGAAATGCGGAAATAAATAAGGGTGAAATGCAGAAAAAAGGATGAAATGCAGGAATCAGGGTGAGCTGCCTTTCCCTCTGACAGCTTTGAAGGCACCAGGAGCTCAAATAAGTGTTTAGGCTCTGGTGCCCTCACATCACCCCAGCTGCCCACCCCTGAGTCCTCTGGTTTTTAAATTTAATAGGTTTTCCACCACTATAATACTTCCTTCTGCTTTGGAAAAATCAGGCTCTTCTGTAGCTGGCTACCTTGAATGTCTGGATTGGTTTTGTTCCAGCTGATCCAGTATTTTCCCATCTCCAGAGCAGGAAGTTGTGGCCCTGGAACTTGTCCTCTGCCCTGCCCACCTCCTCCTCACTCATCCAAAGACACAAGTCATTTAAGTAAGAATGTTTATTGACAGAAATACATGATGCTCTCAAAATATATTTGTAGGAAAATGCAAGAATAATCTCTTACAATCCAGTTCCTCAGTAAATTCCAGTGTAAATCAGACTCCTGTCCCCATGAGAGATGCTGCTACACAGTATGTAAGAGCCCTACTACATGTGCAAGGTTCAACAGGTAACCACCTGGGGAATTAGGTTTTCCTTCTCCAGTCCCTCATGGATTCTGACCTGTGTGTCTTCTGTAGGCAGCAGTCACAGTATCAACCTCATCAGCTGGGTCATGGCACTGTGAGCGGGAGATAAAATGCTCCTAAAGTATTTACACGTTTCCTCGTGAATCTGAAAATAGAAAAGTCTCTTGCAAGGACATCTGAGCTGCTCGTAAAGCTCTCGCCGAAAGGTAAGAGCAGGAATCTCTTTGTACAATGTGTGGGATGTTAAAGCTGTTTTGGGGGAGAGAAGAGGAGTGCAGGGAAGGGAGGAGGGGGAGGGAGGAAGGAAATGCCTCGGTAATTTTTTTTTTTTTAATTCTTTTTGGTCTAACAATTATGGCTACAGTCTACAAAGGGAAGGGTTAAGGCCAAAGATGCTCATTGCTGCATTTCCTACCTGATTTTTTTTTTCCAAAAAAAGAATGTTCTCAACATTAAAAAAAAAAAAAAGAAAAAAGTACTGTTTTCTTTTCCTGTGGAAATAGTTCTTTTAAATAGGGGAAGGAAAATCTACTATAAAATATTAGTGGTTTAAAAATATGGTGTCTGGAAAAATAAATAAATGTACAATTCCTATTCAAATATAAATCACTATAAGCACTTGCTGAGCAGTTAATATTCTCACTGGTCTCTGCTCGGAAAGATTTAAGGTTACTTGATCTCAAGCCTCTGTAGGGTTTTCTTGGAAAGTCTTTGGACCTGACTCATTAAAGCACTTTGGCATCTCTTTGCTGGGAAGGGGGAATCTTTAGGCACATGCCAAAACCGCCTGGAGATGCCCTGCCAGGGGTGTCCTTGTGGCAGCTCCAGCCCCGGTGGCCACAGCGTTGCTGCTGCTCTGTGTTCTCACTGTGTTTGTTTTCTGGGAAGGACAGAAATGTGAGGTCATGGACCTGCTGCTTGTCTGTCAGGGCAGCTGGGAGGCCACAATGCTCACAAGAGTACTTGTGGATGCCTAGTCCCGTTCTGAGACTCGTGTCCACGTTAAAGAGCTGAACTTGAACAGGGACAAAGCCGTGGCAAAAAGTTATCTGGGCAAGAGGTGTTTTTCTGCTTCATGTCAAATTTTAATCCCCTATCAGGCTGGCCTTTAGCTTTTTCTTTCTTTTTTTTTTGCTTTTTTCTTATTTTTAAGATTTTTAATTTTTTTTTTATAATTTATTTTGTTATTTCCCCTCCCCTCCAAAATTACTTCCCCATAGTGCAGTGCCCAGGTAAGTGAAGTGTGCGGAATACATTGCTAATGAGTAGCAGGAATATTTACATACAAAAATATAAAGGTTTGAACACTTCAGACTCTGCCCTTCGGTGCAGGACAGAAGGGGGAAGAGCCACTTGTAACTTCTGCCAGTGCCTGTCCTGGGGCTGAGCGAAACACCCCGATCCCCTCCTTCCTGAGAACTCCCAACTCCACCAGGGTTTCTCCAAGCTTCCCATTGCTTGGCTCTGCTTTTCCCCTCGTTCAGGGCAGCTGTGGGAGCAGATCCCAGTTGGGTTGGCTTGGTGGCAGAGCCCAAAGGAAATCTCCCCGTCGTGCCTTGGTTTATAGCAAGCAGAGGAGAAGGGCCATGTTTGGGCATCGCTCTTATCTGCAGCTCCTCTGGCTTGCAGAGGGTTTGGGACAAGCACCATCCTCACGTTGGGAGAGGGACTCAGCCACGTGACCTTCAGGGCCTCATGTCCTGGAGGATGGACCCCAGCAGGAGGACAAGGATGATCCCTGCCTGTGCCAGAGCTGCTTCACCAGAGCAAAGGCATAAAACTCTCCCCAACCTTTTAGAGCTATTTAGGGGATGTGGTGGAGAGTCAAAATCCCAGAAATGGCCTCAGTCCAGCCATGTTTTTCTTCTCCCCTTTAAAGGCTTCAGCAAAGGGAGACCTGGGTGGCAGACCAAGGGCTGCAGGAGAAAGCTCAGTCCCAGCTTCACTGCTGAGCTGGAAGTTGCTTTGCAGGTCTTTGTTATTTTAGTGGCTTGTGAAGAAGAGTTTAAGAACATGGGCTGAGCTTTTAAACCTCGAGGGAATGAAACACCAAGGGCCACCTGAATGCCACCAAGCTCCCTGGGTCACGTTCTGCTGCTCTTTTACCTCTTCTGCTGCTCACACAGGAAAATGTGCCCTCAAAAATCACAAACTGTCGTGGTGCGTGTGTCCCACAGTCCTGTGGAGGATGGATGAGGGCTGTGAGATGCTGCTGTGTAACTCCTGGAAGGCAAGTGATCCTTCTGTGGGGAAATGCAGCACCAGAGCTGAGCTCCTGCACCACAAAACCCCCAACATCACACCTGGGCTAGAGACCAGGCATTGCTCTTGCTCTCCACACCCTTCCTAAGAGGGATGAACTCCAGGAATTCCTCCTTTTCCTCTCCCTCCATCTCATCCTTTCAAAACAAGAAGATGCTGCACCTCTCCCAGTCTCCACATGGGTGCAGGATCTGTTCCACAGCCCTTGGCAGCGGGGCTGAGCATCACTTGGCACTGCTGCATCCCTGCCATCCCGCTGGGTCCAGATGCATCCATTTGCCTGTGGCACAACGAGAGCCTCTTGTGCGTTTTAGCTCTGAGGAGTGGATGGAAACCAGATTAAAAAGGAACAGGCTGTTCCAGCTTTTTTCATTTACTACCTGGGTGTCAGGGAGGGCAGGGTGATGACTAAACAGCGTGGGCCAGAGGATTTGTCAAGCTGTTAATTGCCAGGTGCTGCTTTGCTGTCAGACACACTCCATCTCCCATCCTATTTACTTTATTTCTCTTGATTTTTGAGTCGCTCAGTAGCTGGAGGATGCAGCTGGTGTGGTCAGATGTGGGATGCTTGGAGGAGACACCAGCAGCTCTTCAGGAGCAAAGCCACCCTGTTTGCCCATGGCTGGTCAGGTCTGGCTTGGGAGGTGGATGGGGGATGGAGGATGCTTAGCCAGATGTGGCCACCAAAGTGGCTTGTGTTGATGTGCCCCAGAGGTGTCTTCTCATGTCCTTTCCTCTTCCATCCTGTACCCCATGTGGTGGCACAAGGGGCCATGATTAGTTTATTAAGGGATTTTCTTCTTTTTTGGGGGAATTTTGCCTTATTTTGGAGCTCTGTGTGCGTGTGTTTAGGATTTATGGGATTTTTTTTGGGGGGGTGGTTGTTCTTTTCTTGATCAAGTTCTGCATCCTATAAATGCGTGTCCTCCTCTTCCTCCAGGTCCTCCTTCATGAGGGTGTCCAGAGGAACAATCCAGCTGTCCCCCAGCTCACCGTTGAGGTTCACCTTCTTCTCCTGCATTTCGGAGGAGGTCTCCATCACCTCCAGCGTGGGGTTGTCATGGTAGCCGTTCTCCATGGTCTGCATCTCCTCGGTCAGGCGCTGCTATGAGGAAAGAAAACCATAAACCCCACTGAGCAACACCTTAGCCATGCTGTGAGTGTCACCTCAGGGCTGTCACCTCCCAGCCAGTTGTGACAGCTGCCCTGTATAGAGACTTTTATGTTGAGGTTGAGGCAGGGGGAGCAAGGGGATAGCATGGAGCTGGCAAGAGGAAGACTCTGCTGATGATGGGAAGGAGGAAAGAACAGCCAGAGATGTGGAAAACCTCCAGGAGCAGCTGCCAGCTTCAGTTTGTTCCACCCAGGACCTTGGGAAGAGGTTGAGCACCACTGCATCCCAACTCCTGCCTCCCTACCTCAAATCTGCTCTTCCCCTCCCCTCTCTCTCCATCTCTGTCCTTTTTTAGTTGCTTTATTATTCTTTACTCAGGGGCAGCTCCCACCTGCCAGATCTTGAGTGTTATCCCTCCTCATTCTGGAACTCTCAGTGGAAACCAGGCAGGGAAAGATGGAATCAGAAATTTTATCACCCTGGTCTTTTGGTGTAATATGCTTCAGGCTCCAACTCAGCCCTTCACCTCTTGGCAGAACCCTAGCCCATCCTAATTTTGCATCCACTTGGGCTCCTGCATCCCCATCCTTCCCTAGAGGGACTGAGTGGGGAACTGCAGTCCTTGCTCAGCCCTTTTTGAGAAGCACAGGGCTCTCAGTGGGTCCTTCATCCCTATCCTTCCCTGGAAGGATTCGGTGGGGAACTGCAGTCTTTGCTCAGCCCTTTTTGGGGAGCCCTGTTAAAAATCTGCCTGGATTCACAGCTTGCTCTATTACAGTGCTCCCAGTAAATGGCAGGAGACAGGCATGGGAGGGAATCCATGGAGAAGGAGAGGAATGGAGAAGCAAAACCGCAGGGCTTGGTGCTGGCAGAGGGGGTACAAAGGCGCTGCTGGGAGTCCCCTGTGTCACTCGTGGCAGGGTGGGGATCGTGGGATGCTCCCAAGCAGAGGACACACCTGGGCTCTCCCAAGGGCTGCTTCCCTCTGGGACTGCTGCTCTCCCACCATGGCAAGGCACCCTCCAGCCATGCAGCGAGGGGAAAGGGGCTGTAAAGCTGGGCTTTAGTCCTGTTAAAAGCTACTGGGCCCTACCAAGCGCCGGAGGTGAGAGCTGGGGGTGTTACGGATGCGGCGCCCGCCCCTCCGATCCCTGTGTTGGAACTCACATTAAAGATCAGGGCCACATGTCCATCATCAAACCCGGGGACATCAGGGTGGATGTTCTGGGTATTTCCAAGATAAAACAACAGGGAGGGAGAGGGGGGGCGAGGAGGATTGGAGGGAAAAAAAATAAAATAGAAAAAAAAACAACAAACTTTCAAGTCATTTTTGGAAACAAAACAGAAGAAGAACAAAAGAAACCACCCAAAAACAAAGCCAGGAAGGAGGAATGTGTTTGGTTTTTGGAAATGGCATCCCTTGCTTACTTTTGCTATTTTTCCCTATGTCTGGTGGGAATTTACCTCTGGAACATCCAAGTTGGACTAGTACCTATTCCTCTGCACCAGGTTATTTTAGGGAGACATGTTCCCATCGCTAAAAATACCCTATTCCTACCCATTTTCTGAACAACATGGGGCGTGTTATGTTGTTATCCATCCCTGGTGGGATGTTTTTCACCCCAGCTAGGGAGGTTTCATGTAAGGGATGATGAAACCCTGGAAGATCCAAGGGGATCACCACAATGCAGGTCAAATATTTATTGAGGTCTTGCCTCTTCCCCTATTTCTTCCCAAAAAAATCAAACCTGATAAGTACAAACAAGTCTGACAGGGGCATTTGTTTGCTCTTCCTCCCTCCTGTGTTCACCTACCTTGCACTGCAAATATTTAAAACTTTATCCCTCATTTTCCCATGGGGCAGAGGTTGGGATTGCTGAGAAAGGATGAGCTGGTGCAGGGGAAAATGACTTCAAGTAGGAGTGAAATAGGTTTGCTTCTCTATCAGGGGATGGTTTACCCTGATTGCATAATCTGATTTCATATTTATTTTCCTTTTCTGCTTCTTGTCCTAGAGCTAAATCCTCAGGATCAGCAGCTGGGACCAGTGCAAACCTCAGTGCCCCCAGGTGTGGGAATGGCCAGTCCTTGCTGGGGGATGCTACACTAAAATCACCTAGGATTGCTTCCTGAGATAAAAATCACATTATTTTCTCTTTCTGTGTTGGTTCTTCCTTAAATCCTGCTGCTGATGCTACTCTGAAATTTGGCCCTGGCCCAGCTCTTGCAAAGGCTGAGCCCTGCGGTGTCAATGCCCCTCCTGCTGACACTCCTTCTTCCCTGCACTCAGCCTGGAGCTCCCTGGCACCCAACCCAACTCCACTACTTGTAAAAGTATTTCAAGAAAATGTTTGAGGGGTACAGCTTGTGTTTTGGAATGGAGTTTCAGACTGAGAAATCCTTTCTTCTCAAAATTTTGACCTGGGGTGGTGCCCACTGAGCAAGCCAGGATGTCTCCACCAGCAGAGACAGCAACACCGGTGATCCTCATCTCCCGAAGATGCCTCTGGGATGGAAAAGGTCTTGGGATACCTGTCCCACCCTCCTGCCACTTTACCTGGTCCTTCTTTTGGGAGAAGCGCTGGTGGCAGCCGTAGATGGCCGCGACGAGCAGCAGGGACCCGGCCAGGGTGATGATGGTGATGATCAGGGGGGTGCTGAACTCGTCGTTGATGGTCATGTCCTCCACCATTTTGTCAGAGGTGATGTTGACGATGCCGAGCTGCCACAGGAGGGACAGGTCAGGCTCTGTGCCACCCACCATTGGGGGACACCCATGGGGCAGCTGTGCCATGATCAGGGACCCACTTACCTCCTCTAACTTGTCCTTCTTCTCCTTCAGCTCCTTGAGGACTTCTTCAGAGTCCAAGGGATCTGGGGGAAGAAAAAGGCTTCAGTGAGCACAAGGTGTGGAGGTGGGGACAGGTTGTGCCACCATCCCCTGGTCAGAGGGGTGACTCAGTTTCTGGAGAAGGTGGATGAAGATGTGTAGGGGTGAAGCCAACCCTTGTAGGGGCTTCACAGCCAGACACGGAGCCAGGATCCCTTCTGGAATGGGGACAGCCCCAGAGCCCCCAGGCCCCACCAGCCATCCCCAGTGGGTGATTTACGAGCAAGCCCAGTGAGGGGCTGTACCTGGCTCCTCAAGGAGCAGTCCCCAGTGCTGGGTGCCTTCCCTGAGGTCAGATGTGGAGTCTGGATCACCCACCCAACCACTGCTCGGTGATGAGTAAGAGCAGGATGGAGCTCAGTCTTTCCTCCTCCTCATTCTAGGGCAGCAGGATGTCTCCACCTCCCAGGCACCCTGATCCTAAAGCAATGTTTGGGCACACCCAGGCTGAGCTGGGTATCCCAGCAGGGCTCTGACACGGGCAGGAAGCTCCTCTCTGTTTTCTTTGGGTAAGGATTTGAACTGGGCACCCAGTTTTAAGCACCTGTGAGCAATTCTTCCTCCTGGAGTCTGGTAAATGCCTTGACTCAGCATGGCAGAGGAATCTGGTGTATTCCTTGGGGCACAAAGCTCATTTCTGGGCTCACTGTAGCTCTCCCAAACCACTGGGATGGGGCAGCCGTGGGAACAGAGCCCTTTGGCCAAGCTCTAGTAGACCTGAGGGCTCTGCCAAGCCTCCACCTCCAGGGTCCCCAGTGCCACCCTGTCCCAGTGCAGCAGAAGGGTGGGATCATACTCACGGTGCAGGACCACCCACACAGCCCAGTGGTGGGAGCGGGGCTTGCAGGCCATCAGTGTCACCGTGCACCAGTCCCTGCTGGCGTCAAACACGTGCTGGGCCGTGGAGCAGAAGCTCTCAAAGAAGGAGTTGTTTTTGCTGGCAGTCCTCCACTCATCCTGCAGTAACAGCGAGGGTCAGCACTGCTCCCCCATGCAGGGACTGCCCAGGAACATCCCACCCCATTGTCAGGGGTGCAGGGTGTCCCATCCCTATAGAATGACCCCTTTGAGACTGGATGTGCCTCTCTGTGCCATGGTTTGGTTGACAAGGTGGTGTTGGGTCATAGGTTGGACTCGGTGATCTCAGAGGTCTTTTCCAACCAAATGCATTCTGTGATCTTCCCTCATCCCTGTGCACTGCCCGGCTGCCGCCGGCCCTCCCAGGGAACAGGAAAGGTTTAAAAGTAGTTTCTTTACAAGAAGCCGAGCTCTTGGCTGCCGTTCCTCACCGGGGCCCTGCACCAGCCTTATCTGTGAGCTGCAGCTTTTGGTCTTCCAGGAATAGCAGGTCCCTGAGGGAAGTGGGGCGGGGGGGCTGGGGAGGCCAGGGGGCCACAGCAGGATCAGGGCAGGGCTGTGCAGCCCCACAGTTCCCCCACGGGCATCTCCAGCCTTTCCACCTCCTGTCCCCACCAACACAGGTCCCTGGCCTGCTTAAAACTTCCCCACAGCTCTGCAGGGAAGAGCAAGAGAGCATGCCTTGCTTTTGGATAGAATCACAGAATGAATCACAGAGTGATTTGGGTTAGAAGGGACCCAAAACATCATCCAGTTCCACTCCCTGCCATGGGCAGGGACAACTTCCCTAAACCAGATCGCTCTAAGTCGTATCCAACCTGCCCTTAAACAGTTCCAGGGATGGGAAAGCCACAGCTTCTCTGGGCAAACCAAAGCATCCCTGGAAAGGTGGGAGAGGGGTGGATGGAGCCCATGTTCCCTCTGTGGTGTTCCTGGGGCTTTTTGCTCAATGCTTTGTAGCATCTGGGAGCTCACTAAGGTAGAGGAGATCACCCTCCTGCCCACACAGATCCTGACATGTGGATGTGGCACACGGGGACATGGGTTAGTGCTGGATTTGATATTGCTGGGTTAATGGTTGAACCTGATGATCTTAGCAGGCTTTTCCATCCTAAATCATTCCATGATTCTATGCACAGACCTGGTCCTCACAGGTGCTATATGAGAGGTGCTATATGCTTTTCCATCCTAAATCATTCCATGATTCTATGCACAGACCTGGTCCTCACAGGTGCTATATGAGAGGTGCTGTATATACAGTTCCTGCGTGCACTTCTTTCCTGTGCAGGTGATCCTGTGTAGAAGCCCTTAATCCCTGCTGAAACGAGGTGCCTGGCTGGGAAAGGCTCTGCTCCTGTCTGTACATCACCCAAACCTTCCCCTCCCATCCCAGCACCACCGGTGGCTGGCAGCACCCCTCTTGCTGCATTGTAGGGATGGGAGCTGCCCAGCTCAGGGACGCACCTCATCTCACCCCATCTTATCTAAATATTTGGGAAGCAGCACTGGAGACAGGATGCACTTGCCGGGGCGGAAGGCTGGCCCCGGATACAGTGCGAGGGTGAGCTCAGCATCGTGGAGCCCTGGCTGTCCCTGGGAATGGCCACTGTCCCTCGCCTGTCCTTTCGCTTTGCGGCGGGACAGCTTCCCCGGGGCCCCTCTGCGGGGTTCTACATCCCTGGGAAAAGAGCTGGGTGGGAAATCGGCCCCAGCCCGAGGGCAGCATTCCCTGGAAAGCTGCTTCCCAGCAGGGCAGGCAGGAGGGGGCTGTAGCTTGGTGGTGGCGGTGGTTTTATCACGTCTGGACGCTGGGTTGTGCTCCTACGCTTGGAATGTCCTGTGATTTGCCTGTCCCTGTCTGTGCAGCACTTTCTGCTTGGCAGGGAAAGGGAAAGCCTGTCTCCCTGCATCCTCCTTCCCCTGCTTTTCCCGCAGCTCGGCTTTCCCCCAGACCTCAATAACCTGTTTCTTCCCCCACCACCCCAAGGTGGGGGAAAAGACCCCTATTTTGGGTGGGGAGGGAAATGGGATGCGAGGCTAAAACCTCGCTGAGACCACTTCAGTGGTAGCTGGTGAGCAGTGCCTAAAGCCCTTCGGAGGGTGAGCTGGAGGGATTGGCCCTTTCCAGGGCTGGAGAGGGGCAGGGTGAGGCCGCTGGGCCGGCAGGGATGCCCCTGGCAGCTCCCCCTGCTCGCATTCCTTGGCCGGAGTTGACAGGCGCTGCCGAGCAGCTCGGATCCGGTTCCCACACTGGCGGGGACCTAAAACCAACATCCCCGAATGAGGTAACAGCACTTGAGTCAACAAACCACCCCCGCCAGCTGCACGGGGTGAGGGGGCACCGCGACCCTGCTCGGTGAGGGAGTCCCTGTGTCTGCTCCGGGGACTGTCCTGTGTCCCCAGACCCGTGGGTGTCACACAGCAATTCCAGTGGGTTCGAGTGGACCTGCTGTGGTTTTTGCATCCCCCACTGCAGCAGGGGGTTGTGTGGCTGAATCACAGCTCAGGCTACACCAACCACCTCTGTCATCATCACTTCTTGCTTCACCTAACTCATTTTGGGGTTAGGATGAGGAGCATTCATGCATCCATCATCCATGCATCCATCCATCATCCATGCATCCATCCATCCATCCACCCATCATCCATCCATGCATCCATCCATGCATCCATGCATCCCTGCATCCATCCATGCATCCATCCATGCATCCATCCATCATCCATTCATCCATCCATCATCCATCCATCCATCCCTTCCAAGACAGCATCCATCCATCCATCCCTTCCAAGACAGGGAAAACACAACTGAAAATACATTTGTGAGCCAGACCTTGGAAGAAGTCAGCTGATAGAATGTGAGGCATTGAGCTAATAAGACTTATTAAAACACTCATTAAGATCCTGCTGTAATCAAAGGAATGAGAAGAAGCAGGTGGGGGGACATGGACCAAACTGTTCAGCATTGTTTAAAGCATCACCTGAAGAGGAAAGATGCAGGGCACCAACCAGCCTCTGAAACACCTATTTGGTGTTTTTGGACACCAAATGGTACCAGTTGTATATTTGGCTTTTTTTGAAGGATTTATAATTCAAGTTCCTGGTTTTCTGGAGAATCTGAGGTGTGGTGGGGTGAAAGGTCTGCAGTTCCTGGGTTCAGTCCCAGCTGTTTGCTGGGGTCCCCCCATCACTGGTGCTGCCCCACCAGCCCAGTGCGAATGGGGCGGGTGGCTCTGCAGTGTCCCCTGCCTTGTGTCATCCAGACACGTCCCCCACCACTGGTCCCCCCACACTGCCCTGGCTTCTTGCTGGATCTGAATTTTTAGTACAATGCCACCCTGACTCTGGCTTGTTCTCGGAGCAGGATCAGAGCTGTTTCTGGAACACTTCTCCTTATAGCACACACTTTCCTGTTTTCCCACGGGTTGTGAAATGCAAAGGATTTTTTCACTTTGCTGTCAGGATTTGGCTACAGACGTGTTTACCGGGCCTACAAAGCAGGGAAACCAGATAGTGCCATTTCTCTGTTATCTGCTCAGCTTGGGAGGCACAAAATGGGCTGCAATATTCAGGAATAAAACGAGTGGAAAGTTAAGGGTGAGTGCAGGGGGGAGGCGCTTTGGCAGCCAAGGAGGGCGATGGGATGGGAGGATGGACCCTTGCAGCCCTGCAGCCTTCCTGTGGCTGTTTTGGGGTGTAATTGGCATTTTGTGCTAACAGTACTCTGGCTCGTTATTTCACCCAGAAGAATCAAAGGGAAGCAGGGTGGGAGGCTCCCTGGCTCGCCAGCTTCAATGCTAAGTGGCCCTGGAGCAGGCCATGACACCAAGATGTGGTGTCTGCCCATCCCTCAGCTCACTGGTGCTGCCCAGCCTCACCATCCCTGCTTCCAAAGCCTCCCAGTACAGCTCCACAGGAAGAACAGCAGCTCTGGAACATCACTGTGCCCAAAAGGAGGGGGGAATCTTTAAATACCATCATTGTCCTAAGTTTTTTTAGGCTCCAAAACTGGATTTTGTCAATTTGATTGAATATTTTAATATATTCAATACAAAATTTGATGAGAAGCTTTTCCAGCATGAACCTGCAGCCATGTCCAGACATCAAATGAGGAAAGGGATCTTGTGGGGCTTTAAGGAAATAAGGTTCCCTCCTTGGAATCACCCTCAGTGTCCAGAGCAGCATCACTAAGGACATCACCTCCACTGCAGGTGTGTGGGCAAGGAGCATTCACACCCAGCAGCAGCAGGACTAGGAAGGTGACAACAGACAGCAGTCAGGTGCTTTCCCTCCTCCAGGAGAACAGGGGATGATGCTGGGAGGTCCAAGCCCTTTCCAGGGCTGCCAGGCAGGGCCATCACCCAAGCACAGGGAATTTCAAGAGCTGCTGTGGTCAGTAGCTGCATTCACAATGTGTCAAAGGGGTTTTGTGAACACAGTGTGGCTTCACTTGGAGAGTCCCTTCCAGCTTGGCTGATTCTGTGATTCACTTAGGACAGGGAGTGACAGGACAAAGGGGAACAGTTTTAGATTAAAAGAGGAGAGATTTAGATTAGATATTAGGAAGAAATTATTTACTGTGAGGATGGTGAGACATCATGGAGCAGGTTGTCCAGAGAAGTTGTGGCTGCCCCATCCCCGGACATGTCCAAGGCCAGGCTGGACAGAGCTGGAATCTGGTCTAGTGGAAGGTGTCCCTGCCCATGGCACAGGCTGTGAGAAGGTCCCTGAAGTGCCAGTTTTCCACTGCTTACACTGCCAGAAGCCAGAACATTATCATGCCAAAACCCACCCTGAGCCCGACCCACAGTCACTGTGTCAGGACCTCACCAGTCATTTACTGGTGGCTCTGCCTCATTATTACCAACTTAAAACTTCTTTCTATTTGGAACTCATCAGTATAGTGCATCTGCCCTATTGCAGGAAGTTCAGTTTCCACCAGAACCATTCTGAAGGCAGATATCCCTCAGGAACACCAGCAGGCAGTGCCCACCCACCAGAAAGGGTCTTGGTGTGTGGTCCTGGGCTGGGCTTGCCTGCCCCCAGCCTTCCCACCACACTTCACTGCTCCCTGGTTTTGTAGAGGGTCTGAAGCAAGCAAAATAAAGGCTTTTTTCCTCTCACTTTAGGGTTCTATGAGATCATTAAGGAGCACAGTCCTAAACTCCTCTGCTTCCCAGCTGCTCTGCAGTGGGATGCCACCCTACCCCAGTGTGAGCTACAAGATCTCACAAGTGCACAATAACTGTGGAGGAACATCTCATTTTTTTCTTGGGCTTTGGGACAAAATTCCAGCCCCTCAATTTAGGTAAAAAGCTTTCTTGCTAGCAGAAATATTTACATTTTAAAAAATTCTATTTTAAAATGGTCTTTCTGTAAGATCTGGGTGGGCTTAGCTGGTTTTGTACTTGGAGAAGACAACACTGACCTCTTCTCCTCCTGCCACATCCCCCACTGGCAACACTGCTGAACATGGGTTTGCATTCACCAGTTTACATTGGTTGCATCTTTGATGAAGTTCCTTTATTTCTGAGCATTTTCTCACATACTCAGAGCACCACGGGTTAAAATCTGAACCTCCAACAGCTGTTAATTCTCCATGGAAGTCAAAAAGGTGGTACTTACACAGGTTCTGGGTTCTTTCAGCTGAATGGTGGGCCTGGTATGTTGCACCTGGTCGTCACAGATGAGCTGGAAAGGCAAAGGAAAAGCAGCTCTCAGTGGTGGACAAAAGCTGGAAGGACAGTTGTCACCAATCCAACGGCCCATCGTTTTTTTCCTGGGAGAAGAGCCTGACCCCCTCCAGGCTGCACCCTCCTTGGAGTTGTAGAGAGCCAGAAGGTCCCCCCTGAGACTCCTTTTCTCCAGCCTGAGCCCTCCCAGCTCCCTCAGCTGCTCCTGGTGCTTCAGGTCCCTCCCCTTTCACACTCCCCTTCACCTCCATCCTCATCATCTCTTCTCTGGAAAGCTCCAGGAGAAAGGGATGTGAGTAAATGACCTCTAAAGATCCTTTCCAACCCAAATAGTTCTGTGATTCTACAACCTGAAATTACTTTGCTGGCAGATCTCTCTCTCTCCCTGACACAGAAACAGTGAGAAGAGCTGCAGACTCCAGGTGTACGTGGGATGGCAGCTAAATTAACACCACTGAGAGGAGCCCACCTTCCCATTTGGTGCCATTACCTCATTTGGGTAAGAAATGTTGGGGTGCTGGTGGCCAGAACTGCAGCTCTCTGTCTGGTCCCCCGAGGCTGGAACTGGTGGCTGGGCACCGTCAGGGCTCTGGGAGGCACCGGTGGGTTTGGTTGGTGCAGATCCAGCATCGTGGGTACTCTGGTCTGGCTCCCCAATATGCACCAAAAAACAAGCAGAGAAACACTGACACAATATAGAGGATACAGCTGGCACAGCTCTGTTAGGGATCACCTCACAATCAGTTTTCATCTCTAGCCCTGCCTTGAAGATCATTGTGTCAAATGCTGCTTTAGATTGCTTCTTTAATATTGTATCTCTTTTAAATTAACTTTGATATGGAAAGGAGCTGATTACTGATTTTCTTTTCTACTGCTGAAACTCATCAGAATGTTCTGGAGAGAGGAACCAAAGGCCATTGCATGGCTCTGTGTGGGTAGATGGGTAATCACTTAGAAGTATGGGGTGACCCTCCTTTCACTTTATCTGGGGTACCTTCCATGGAGGTTTCCTCAACAGACGCAGACCTGGCTACCCAGGATCTGCCACCCACCTCTGTTGGGAGGGGATGTAATGCCATAACCTCTGCTGACTGCACCTCCATGGAAAAATTCCAGGATGACAAGCTTAGAAGTAGTGCCTGGTTCTACAGGAGACAGCCTGGGGTGTCCTTCCTGGTATTCCAGAAAGGCACAAGTCCCAGATCTACCAGCCCCATTCAGGTGTCTCTGAAAACTGAGGTCGTCTCTGAGGACTTGGTTAAGTTCTGTTACATCTTAGAATTGTTTGTGCAGTGGGAGTAGTGCAAGGAGCACAGCGGCCTCCTGCCTCCCCAGACCCCTTTGAAGACATGGATCTTCATCCCTGGCTTCCTAATTCATCCTTAAGTGGTGACAAAGAGAATTAAAATGCCACAGGATGCTCACAGCCTGTTTGCTCTCAGGACTCCTGCCTCTTCCACAGAAAAGATGAGGAATATTTCTCTCCCAGACACATTCTGAAGGCTCCAGGAGAGAATTAATTCCAAAGCCATCTGTTTCTCATGCATTCTGCCAGCTATTTATTAAATATAAAGGGTTTTTTAGACCTCTTCAGGCTTAATGCTTGAGGCCAAATTTGAATTAACATAATTTCATATATCATCCTCCAGTGGAGAGCAGTTCTGTGGAGCAGGAGGGGAAAGAAAAGAAAAAGAAACATCCTTCATGAAAATATTCATTTCACTTCGTTCCTGCCCGTACATGAAAACATGATGTGGTGAAAGCCAGTGGAGATGGCCTTGCAATAAAACCTGGGCTCATTTAGTGATGCACTAGCTGGGGGGCTGAAGGGGATGGAGATGGTTTTTGAGAGGCTTCTGTATTCCAGGTAACTAGAAATAAGGTCAAGAAGAGCATTTTCCAGGGGAAGAGAATGAAGGGCTCCAGTGTGATCACAGCTTTAATTCAGAGCCAGACGTGAGCTGAACCCAAAATCCCAGCCAAGTCTGGAAGACTCCCTGGAGCCCTCACAGTCCCACAGGGTGATGATTTCCCTGTAAATGCTACCAGACAAAATTCCAGTTTGGGAGTTTGAACTGTGCCTCACCAGGACATCTAGGAACTAACACAACAGTAAAACTCCAGAGGTCAGAGAAAACACCTTACTGGTGTTCAGCAAAGTCCTAAACAGCACATGGACACTCCTAATGGTGCTTAGACAGCAGTCAGCAGCCAAAGCCCTCCCGCAGCTGATGAACGTCCTACCAAAGTCAGACTCCTCAGGGGCTGTAAACTCAGAGTTTAGCCACAAAATCTCCTTAGTCATCTAAAGCTCATTTTCTGTGCATGCCCAGACAGCCTTCCCTAAGCTGTCAGCTGCACCAGGGATCTTCCAGGGGCAGCATTCCGGGGGCTGTCACGCTGCTTCCCCAGCTCTCCCGCCTCAGTCCCCAGCCCATCGCCGCTGCTCCCGTTTGCCGTCACTGAAGATCGAGTCACTGCAGTTGATGGTGCTTCAGGCACCATTTGGTCCATTCAGAAGCCAATGCCTGCACTTTGCCAACTGATTCATTCCTTGAATTTCACTGACTGCATTGACTCGACCTCCACCAAGGACAACAGGGACCTAAACACGCGCTTGTCACGCAGACAACTGCCCTGGAAATCCTAAAATGAGACAAGGTGGTGACAGCCCATAAGGGCAGGTGTTTAGGGCAGCCAGAAGAAAACACAAAAAGGCCTCCCCAGCACAAGAAACCAAGGTTCCTGCCTTCTGTTACCTGCCCCAGGAGTTGTTGTGGCGGCTGCCCCCGGGACCGTGTCTTTGCTGCCGTTTTGCAGTGTCGGGGTGGTGGCGAGGGACGGGGATCCAGTCAGAGGGGTAACAGAAGTGCTTCCAGAACTGGTGGAAGGGGTTGGTCCCTGGTCTGGAGAACTGGAAGAAGAAGGAGGCTGCTTGGTGTCACACGGGGGAGGAGAGACAGGACAGTCCTTGGAGCTTTGGGAAGGGTCAGTCCTCGGCACTGTGGTGCTCACAGTGGTGTTAGGCAAATGACTCAAAGGCTGGTTTTCCTGAGGCTGTGTGGTGGGAGAGGATGTGCCAACAGCCCCTATAGCTCCCGGGGGACTGGTTGCATTAGTGACAAGATCTGCAGCAGCGGTGGTCTCTGAGCTTCCTGAAGTGGATGTAGCACCACCGGGCTGCTGGGAATTTGTGGGCTGTGCAGCAGGGGTGGTTGTGGGGATGGTGGTGCCCTGTGAGGGGCTGTCCTGCCCTGGCGTGTGGGTCGGGGTCATGGTGGTAGGCGATGCTGTCCCCAATGTTGCGACCAGTGTGCTCAGTGACGGTGCAGAGGGGGACAATGACTCTAACAGGTTGGTAATGGTGGTGCTGCTTTGAGCAGTGTTGGAATCTGCCACAGTTGGCTGAGTGGCTGCTTCCTTAGTGATGGTGGCGGTGGTGATTTTGTCTGTGGTAGGTGATGATGCAGAGGTGGTTGGTGAGGTCTCTGCAGCTCTTGCAGGTGTGGCCACTGTGGCGGTTGCTGTTGTCATGGTGGACGGGCTTGTTCCTGGGCTTGTAGAATCTGCATCTTCCTGAGAGCTGACACCTGGGAAAAGTAAAAATGCCAAGGTAAACGCTGAACTAAGGAAACTGCCTGTGGTTTCCCCTCAGAACATGTATTTGTAGAAGTAAACACTGGCATAAGCCACAAGTCATTCACTCAGGGCTTGCCTCGTGCTCTCCAAAGTCATATCAAATTCCACGTTCTGGTACCATTGTGTCCAGCAGGAAGCAGAGCAGAAGAGTTCAAGAGGAACCTCCAAATGTAGTCAAACTCACAGGACTTCAGAGCGAGAGCAGGAGGACAAGACCTGCTGGGTCTCAGGACACAGGTCTCCCTCAGATGGGAGGTCCACCAGCTTCCATGCACAGCCTGCAAGTGGTCCCCAAAATAAAGTAGATCCAGCCCTTGTAAAGGGACAGCCAAAGGATGCACTGACTGCAACTGTCCAGCCCTGTTATGAGTGTCTCCCACATCTCTGAAGGGATAAGGTGACACAGAATCACAGAATCATCAAGGCTGGAAAAGACCTTCAAGGTCATTAAGACTAAACAATTATCTCACATTATCACATGCAAAGATATCTGTGTTTGGTTTCTGAAGAATACTTTAAATTTTCAAATTTTGAAGCTGTTCTTCAGTGGGAGATGCAGCTGAAGGACAACTCAGCTGACAAGGGAGAACTTTCCCACAGCAGAGAGCTCTGTAATGTGCTGAAATGCCAAAATGGGGTATTTTCACTGCTAAACCAATACAAAAACCTGGCTCTATTCTTGTGTTTGTTCCACTGTCTATCCAGTGTTTGTAATCACTGCAGGAGCTCCATCAGTGGCCACAATTTCCTCACATGGTGACCACCAGTTCTGGGATCTTGCTCAAATTCACCCCTGGAAAGTTTGACCAATTTTTCACTTTTCAGTAAACATGGGCTGAGCCACTTTATCCATGGATCCCTCTGGGGTCAAGGCAACAACCTGATTTGGGGAGAAGGTTCTTCCATTTGGGGACTGTGCAGAAGAACTGCTATAATATTTTTTCCCCATACATTACTTCCAACCCTCCAAAACAGGAGTCACACCTCCAAGGATTGATTTTTAGCCTAATGCTGCTCTCCAGAGATCTGCTTTGCTTCTCTGTGCTGGCACACAGGCAGAGTATCTTCTCTTACACAGCCTCTCTGTTGACATTGATTATGCATCAAGGATCTGATGCAGCTCAAGTTTCTGGTGGGAAAATTTAGCTCCTCCATGTCAGGATCTGGCTTGAGAGATTTGGGATGGGGAGGCTGCAACAAATTTGAGTTCCTGTGGGAACTGCCTGGGGACAGAGTGGGTTTGGAGGAGGCAGAGGAGCTCCAGCTGGGCCTTGCATAGGCATCCAAACAGGGAACGGAACAGAATAGAATAGAATAGAATAGAATAGAATAGAATAGAATAGAATAGAATTTGCATTGGAAAGGACTTCAGAGATCATCTCATTCCAACCCCTCCTGTCATGGGCAGGGACACCTTCCACTATCCCAGGTCCAAGTCCCATCCAACCTGGCCTTGAATGTTTCCAGACATGGGGCAACCACAGCTTCCCTAAGCAACCTGTGTCAGGGCCTCACCACCCTCCCAGCCAAGAATTTCTTCCTAATGTCCCATCTAACCCTGCTCTCTGTCACTTTAAAGCCATGACCCCTTGTCGTGTCACTCCATGCCTTTGTGAAAGTTCAGATCTCCTCCCAAAACATGGTTTCCCCACCAGCCACCAGGAGCAGCCACTCTTGGAAACACAATCAAGATGTGAGTGTAACTGAAAGTAACAGCATGAATTATTTTAGGAAACACTTGGCTTGTGGGAAAACATTTCCATTACATCTGCAGGAAAAGGGCTTTTGTGGAGATAAATCATATTTCCTATAGGCTGAACACTGTCTGTGGGATAAGAAGAGGTAAAGAAGTAAAACACCATCACAAGGTCCTGACAGGTAAGCACCAGGTGCTGAAGATAGGAGGGAGTTTTGATCTATCACCTCCTTAGCTGTGTTATCAATTTGTGTGGCTTGAATTGTCAGTGGTGGTTGCACCAAGCTGGGGAGAGACCAGGCATCCAGTGAGCCACAGAATGGGTCTGTCCCATAAATAGGGTGTGAAAGTTTGACAGGGGGCCTGACAACAAAAGAAGTACAAAAAATATCCCCTAAAGGTAGAAACAATACAACAGAGACATAAAAAAAGAAAGGGTTAGAAGGAAGGAAGGAAGGAGGAAATCCCCCACTGCTCTTGTTTCCTTTTCATGCCCCAGCCTCATCCCAGAGGGGCAGAAATTAAAGGCTCCAAGGAGAGGTCAAAAAGACAATTCAATTCAACTCGGTCCAAGGGAAGGGGACAGGACCATGCTTTGGCTCTAGGCCAGTCCTGGTGGCCAGCTGGGATCACCCTGTGATCCAAGGAACCAGGATCCCCGGCCCAGTACTTCCCTGTCCCACCCTGGGGAGATACAGATAGGATGTTACCACTTTTAGTAAAAAACTGAGGGCAGAAGTCCAAAGGAAGGGGCTGTTCTGCTGATGGAGAGATCTGGTGAGATCCTCCAGGCTTGTCCTGGCTGGGGTGGTAGCAGGGTCTTTTTTGGGGCACACAGAGTGACACAGCCCCAAAAAGAAATTACTTTTTTAATTTCTTTGAGAAGGGAGAAGAATCAAGACTCATGTTGGTGCCCAAAAATCTCATTAGTATTTTATCTTTCTGAATCTCTGCACCCACTCCTAGTGTTCCTCTTCACTAAGGTCAAGAGATGATAAAAAATCCATTTATTCTTCCTCATTATGCAAGGATCAGTGATTTAAGTGGGAACAAGCATCACGAGCTGGACCTGCAACACACCACTGGAGAGGAGCTGTGGGTACAGCTGGGAGAGATCCCCTCCCACAGAGGAGCAACAACATTCATCCCCACACCCCTCCTGCAGGCTTTTGGTCGCCTTTCTGTCAGCAAAATTTACCTTTTCTATCCTGCTGCATTAAATTAAACTGTTTTCTCAGCACAAGGTGCTGCTGCAGTCACGGGGCTCAATACCTTCCTGCAGTTTTATTGCTCTGAGCTTAATGTTGTTTGTCCAGGGACTCTGTCTCACTGCAGCTTTGGGAAAAAATGCATTTCATTTAGAAAAATTACATTTTTTTTTTTTTTGGTGTCTTGCAGGATCACCACCCACAAAAGACCTGTCTTAGGCAAACCCATTGCAAACTTAATTCCAAAGCAGAAACAACTGCAGAACAAGCACCACAGTCCCAGGAGTCACTGTTTTCCTTCCACATGTACTGTATCTCTTTCAAATGCCAGAAAATGTTTTGTTTTAATCTCTTCCTCCCTTGCTGGCCACCTATGCCAAATTTCAGTGGTAGACTCAGGGGTAATGACTGGTAACGAGCCCCTGTTTGCCTGGGCTGGGGGCCAGTATTGCCTGACAACTGTCCCCAACACAAGAAACGAAAAGGATCTGGCTGAAGGAGGAGAAAACCTCTGTTAAGAACAGCCAGACAGGACAGGATTATGTCTGGGGCCTGTTCAGCATGAAAATCACTCACAAAAGATACAGTAAGTCCTTTTGCAGGGAACAAGTGATCCCTTCACGCCGTGAGCCCCAGAGGTAAAAGGATTTAAGGCATCAATGAGAGAGGAGGAGGAGGATGGAGGAGAGAACCTCCAAGTTATCACTCCCCCTACCTGGAGGAGACCCTTCCCAAAAGAAAGCCCACTTGAATTTCAACCAGAGTCCCTCAACCTGTTTTCCAGAAGTCAGAAAAAAATCATCTGCCCCTGACTTTCCTGGCTGCATTTTGGAACGCCAAGAACTCTTTTTTGCTTTCACTTTTCTGGACCATCACCAATTCTACATTTGAGGGAAGATGAGAGCAATTTAGCAGCTACCAGGGGTATTTTGACAGCAGTCAGCAGCACTGAGACTAAAGGTTGGTCTGCTCTTCTCTTCCTGCATGCATCCCTCAGAAAACCCAAACCTCTGGTGCTGGGTGTGGGGTGGATCTGTGGGAGGAGGGCGCGAGCCCGCCACGCATCCGCGAGCTCGGCGGCCAAACAGGAGGAAATGAGTCCGCTGCAAAAACATGATTTCATGTCCGGATACGTGTATCCCATGACCGGGCCTGCGATACAGTGTGTGTGGGATGGGGACAGCCAGGATGGGAGACAACTTTCCCTTATTGCTAATTACCCAGCTGGCCCATTTGGGAAGCTGGAAGTGCCCCTGTGGGCTCTTGTGGATGGGGATGGTGTGAGAGGTCTCTGGTCTGGGGCTGGTGGGATGTGAAAAGTCACCCAAAATGTAAAAGGAAAGGTGAGCTGCTTTGTGCCAGCACAGCTCCTCACAACTGCAGTTACAGACACAGCTTTGAGCTGCTGTGCACCACCTCCAACCACAGATTTGTGGAACCACAGAATGGTTTGGGCTGATCGGGACCTTAAAGACCCTCTAGTCCAACACTGCCATGGGCAGGGACACCTTCCACTCCCCCAGGATGCTCCAACCCTTGGCCTTGAACACTTCCAGGGATGGAGTAGAACAGCTTCTCCAAGGGCTTCACCACCCTCACAGGGAGATATTTCCTACTAATATCTAATCTAATTTCCAACTGATATCTAATCTGAAGTGTCTCCCAGTTAAGCCATGGCACGGCATGATGCTCTGTAACCTTAGTGCTGTGAGTACGTGGAATTTTGCAGGTTGGGGAAGGCCCTCGGAGGAGAAGCATTTTGGAAAGGTCAAGGCTTGGAGCACAAAAAGAGAACCAAACAAGCTCAAAATGCAAAGTGAAAGGACACGTCCCATCCATCCTCCCACAGCCCACCCAAAGCCAGCGACTAATTCCCTCTCCATGCAGCTCCTCTGATTAATTCCCTGCCCAATAGCTTCCTGCTTCCTATTTTGGTAACGCCTCCCCCTGCCTCCCCCCCATCCACCTTGTTGAAACAGCTCAGATATTGGCTGAAATTCTATTAATAGTGAGAAAAGGAAACTCAAAAGAATAACTTAGGAAATGG